CGATTCTACTGCGCAAACTCCTGACAGTTCTAGAACAGTAATTGTTGGAACCCAAATGAACCTATGATATTCATATGAGAGAATCGACAATTTTTCAAAATGCAAATAGTTGACATGTGACACCTCATTCAAAAAATGTTCTTATTGTCTAGTGATATGATGAATAGTAGTCGAATATTCATCCATACAGGGTGAACCAAAATTATCTATTTATCAAAGTACAATAAAGTTATAATAAATGTTCAAATTGATGACATTCAGTAATGATGCAATGTGGAAGCTGGGCAGTAGATTCTTCCGAGGATTCTTCTCTAATTTTCTGTCAGAGAAGCCTAAAAAAAATCCAATAGCTTGTCAGTGACACTTTGTGGGGAAAAAAGTTCGAAGAGAAGAAATATAGATGTATTGAAAAATAATCAAATTTTCACTAATCTTTGGACGTTTCGGGAACGAATCTGCTCCTATTCTCAACATAAAAATGCATAATACTTAAAAAAAAACAGAAATTTAACCAAATCTATATCGCTCGTAGTTTCCGAGATGCCCATACTGGCCTGTATTGTCTTGGACACAGTGTATACATCAACAGTGGTGAACTATTGAGGTCTAATTGAGAATAATAAAGACAAAACTTCTAAATTCGAAAAATCAGGGGTATACAAACTCAACTGTGGATCTTGTCCTAAGGTATATATCTGTCAGACAGGTTTTATGTTTAATCAGCGCATTCTTGAACATAAGATGAATTTTATGAAAAAGAAAACGAATTCAACATACGCCAACCATATATTCGAAGAAAACCATAGTTTTGATGATAATTTCGAAATTTTGCACGTAGAAAATAAAGGACTGAAACTCAATTATTTTGAATCATTAGAAATCAACAAGCTCAAAAATTTTGACATTTTACTTAATTATCAATTAGACCTCAATAGTTCACCACTGTTGAATTCGTTTTCTTAGTAAGTAAGAATATGTATTTGCTATCAACTATTTCAAGTTAATCTGGTATACCGTATTTTAATGTAGATATTGTGCCTAATTTCCGAAAATGGAGGTTTATCGTACCTGTCCACACGTTACTAATCCTTCAGGTTGGAAAGTAAGATATATAAAAGTTAAGCAAGCCAACGTTAGTTTAGTTCATTGTACCAGTATATCACCTGACGAAGCTACTGTGTTAGCGAAACATGTCGTGTGTTTGAGAATTTTGTGGAAATCCTTTCGTTTGTGAAGTTTTCACATTTGAAAGATAATGGGCTTATATCACAAAACATTTTTATTTCATAATTCGATAGAACTCACCCAAACTAGCTCACCACCGCAAACCGTTTCTTGCTGTGAGCTCCCTACGTTTTATTAAAAATTGAATCCCCGATTTTTCGGACCTCTGAAAACGAGGCGATGATGTGACGTCAAAACCCTAATACTGAAACAACACTATTCCAGACAGAGAGGAATGATACATGATTTCTGACAGAGTGAATTAGCGCGAGATCACAGTTGAAAGATTTAATATATCAGTTGCCTCAGTCTCCGTCTAGCGTTTGGTATTTTCTTTCAACTATGGCGAAATGAGGTTTCTACGTGATAAGAGGGTCCGTTTTCAGAAGGTACTATTATTTATGTCCAAAAATAAAACATTCCAGTTAATTTTTCGATCGAATTATGTCGTCAATCATTATTTATGTATAAAAGGATCATTATAAACATGGTTTGAGTTAAAAGTTCTACTAAGGTGTACACGCCCATTGATGATAAAATACTTGCTTCTATACATAGGCCGCGAATTATACAATTTCAACGTACTGAAAGAAAATTCATCGCCGAGGCAAGATACTCTTGGGGTCGCTAAAATGTTACGGGGCGTGGTGTACACACTATTTTCATTTTATTGAACTAGATAATTGCAAATACATATATTATTGCTTTAGAATCAACGGCAGTTCAATTTAATCAAGCCAACAACGGCGTTGGTGTGGAAATGACATGACACAAAATATTTTGACAGTCCTTAACAAAACGAAAATCTGGTCTGACACTGAATATTTCATCAAATATAGAATGTCTCATAAGAGCAATGCAATTACCAAAAAATTACAGCGGTAATTGCACTGCAGAGCCAAGATTGCACTGAGAAAACATCCCGTCGCCATAATAATACGAAACCTTGTCGCTATACGCCAGTAAAAAATACAAATAAATTCAAAGAAAACAAGTAGCTCAAAGTCGGTCGACCACACTTTATATAAAACAGTCAGTCATCATCAGACCTGTGAAATGATGAAACACAAGAAAATTGCTAGAAAATTCACGGTTAGGGGAAACATTAGTAGAGAAATATTTAAATCTTCGTCCAACCGATATATCGCAAAGGATAGGATTGATCTTTAAATTTCAAAATAGAAAATATCACTCGCAAAGAATTGGCATTGATGAATTTGAAGCAATAGGAAAAGACATTGCTACATTTTTAAAATTACCAGACTGTAATTCATATATGCAGGTCATTGTTTTCGCCGCTCATCGGCAACTTCATTAGTAGATACTGGAGGAGATATAACGGCACTGAAATAAATATGCGAATAAAATATACAGTTCTATAACCCCTCAACCAATTAGTACCTACATCAACAACATATATGTTGTAATAGTCGTAGATGAAGTATAGTATGCATGAGTTATGACAGCTCGTTAAGTAATATACTATTTTGTTAACGATTAAGTACTACATTTTGAATTTAATTTTCCAATATTATTTTTCATAATTATGCTTTCATCATATCTAAAAGTTTGAGAGACCACCGTTTTTAATATGCATACCAATCGGTCCTAGAATTCTAAATATTGACAGAAATCGTGTACTGATTCTACCGTGACTTGATTGAAAAAACTTTAGAAACGATTAGATTGCGACAAAAATTTCAATCAAGTAAACACGACATGTTTCGCTAACATAGTAGCTTCTTCAAGTGAAATACTCGTGCAATGAAATTCATTGTGGAAATCTCATCGTTTGTGAAGTTGTTTATGTTGACAAAATTCATTCAGACAATAAGGAACGGAAAATCTCTCCTTGTATGGCAATAGGCGACGTTCATCACAATGAGAAAAGACCCTTCCCAAAATAGTAATTATAATAATAGAACTATATTGAACAAAAAACATGATCCCAAGAAAAAGAAATGTTCTCGTTAGAACACGACGTCACAAGTACTACCGTCTATTGGAAGTGGTTGTCGAGAAAAATTGATAATTCACTAGGCAGTGAGATAAACAGCGTTGCCGTCTCAACCAATTCTTTAGCTTGTTTGGATATTTCAACATTCATCGCTCTCAAAATTTGATAGTTTTCAACAGTGTCATGGATGAACTGAGCGGTACAGTTTAAAACTTACTGTTCTTGTTTTTTTGTAAACTGGACTATGACATAATATGGACATATATGTTGAGGCAGATTTATGCACACCGTTTTTTCATTAATCTGTAATTTCTAAATCATTAACGATTTCACTAATAAGTTGAAACTTGGTATTCCCGTTCAGTCATTTATGCACTTAAATTGAATTCTTTTATTAACTATTCGCTAAAAGATGACCAACTTTTATCTCTTAACGACAAATACAAATAAAACTGTGACTTGCGCAGGCGCGATTCTGTCATAAGTCAGACAATTTCTTCCTCTTCTTTTTCCAAAATGTGGTTGAAAATTCTGAAAATACTAGTCGTATGTTCAAATTATACTCTGAAAACAATATGAATGAATGTTTCTTATTGTAATTATGTGATCACTGAATGATATAACACGAATATTTTCATCGGGCTAAGTACGCTGAGACTATGTTTTGATCAAGGAGAAGAGTTTAAAATTTGATAATGGTTGTGCACAAAGGTATAGTCCTCAAATAAAAATAAACTTTAATGACAGTTATTGAATGCAACAAATTAATGAAAAAGCTGTGTGCATAAATCCACCTTTAGAGTGATGTCATCAGAATTTGAGGTTCCTTATAAAATTGCAAGATTGTCAAGTATACTAAAATCGTCGGGTAGATTGGTATATAAGTATAATTGAGCATTAAACCGAATTGTGTCGCTGCTGATTGAACCTACAACGTGCTACAACCAACTCGACTATTAATCATGTCAGTTATAAACTTGTAGAATTGGCAATGGGGTTAAATTTATATTGGTGACATTCACTATATCAATGAATATCAAATCATCTCCACAGTTTACAGTTGGATCGAATCGAAAATAAATAAATATTTGATATTTGCTTGATATTTCCTCGAAATGAAATAGCTGGCAACACAGGAAAAGAGATTATGACGTCAGTACTGGATAGATAGTTTGCCGCCGTACGCTATGTTAGAACGTTCCATGACATTGTAGGGTATTCAAACGGTGTTTTTTGAAGTGTTACAGCATATTTTATCAAAAAATTATGCATTTATATGTTGATACTATATTTCAGTTATATGCACATTTCAATTGAAGTCAAGCATTTGTGATCTTACCTATTAAAAAATAATTTCCGAAAACTTCTCAAACTGAAGTCGCAGATGAACAATGGACATTGAAAATGACGTTAAGGAATATTTCATATCAAATGATCCACTGTTTGAATGTCTGTCAGTGACATTTTCACTATATTTTGCGTCCACCCTAAATTCTCAGCTATTCTGCTTATTTGTATCTCAGTTACGTGAAAACGACTGTTTCAATCATCAGTGTGCACAGGAGTTAAGTAGAAATGCATCATTTCTCTTCTAGTTACAAATTTTTGAAATATACCGAATTTGTTCCAAGATGAAGTTTCAATGTTTCTATTGTGTATTAGTTTTCTTTACGTCCTCTATATGTTTCAATATTATCAAACTATCATGGCTATGTTCGTTATTGATGGAACACAATAACAAGATGTTTTTCATTCGGAAGATAGAAACACTTCAGAATAGTCCAATTTGACCTAGGATGTATTATTCGAATTTTCACAGAATCCCTGAATACGCTGAACAACCTACTCAGTGAAGAGTCCACTTCGAAGGATGGGGGCACCGAAGGCCAGCCACAACCAGCGCCTAAGATTGAAACTGACTACATCCAGATTATGGATAATAATCAGATGCTGCTTACTTGTCGTGAATGTGCAAAGATATTCACAACTTTGGAAGTAAGTTTCTCAAATAAGTTTTCACTATGTAAAGCTGATTGTCGTACCTTTCATCATAATCAAGAAAATGAATAATTTTCGAGAAGAATATAATAATACCGGAATATATTGAATTGTGCTATATATATTGATTATTCACCAAGTTGGGGGAAATTAACTCAAAATCATGAGGACCCGCAAAAATTTCATATGAAACAGAATAGACCATCATAGACCATAGGAGAATCGACTCTTCATATTCTCAGAAAAAAAGAATGATAACTCTGACATCATCCTTCACGAATTGCAACAATGAACTTTTCATTCTTATCAGAGTCTGGTTTGTGTTTTCATTACCTGGTCATTGCATCTGATTTGTCAATTAAATAGGTCCATCTTTCTTCCACCTCTCGTGGTTGTTATAGGTTCCTAAAGTTGTCGTTTTTATCATTACAATCTTCATTCTTAAATGTCCATCCATTGGCCACTTAGTACCTGTTTTTGAAGTGGGATCATAATGTCAATATTTTTTTCTACACCATGTTAGAGATATCACGTTGAAATTTTGAAATATGCAGAAATCGATATAACAATTATTATATAAGGACACAATTATAACATTAGCATACAGGTATAGTTTTCAGTGTCTGAAACATCGAGAATTTTCAAATTGTATACCTTTTCATCTATGAGATAAAATAATGAATGAGTAATAATTTCAAATGAAACTCAAAATCCTACAATTCCCTTTCTTGGTACATTTCTATGAATTGAAAGAACTCGTTTTATTTTTCGATAGTAGTGGAAAAACTCACATGTAAACCATTGTACAGATGGCAATTCCGAGGCGACATTCGCTTATTGACTCTCAGAGTAAAGTAAAGTTAGTCGAAGGTTTTATCTGTGAGTTAATTACTATTCCATGTAGGTATTCGAACGGAATTTTGAGTTACATATTTTACTGATATCTGAGATTGACATGAACATATGGGTTTGGTTCCTCAAATTGCAAGTTTAGTTCTGTCAGTTGAATTCATGAAAAGAGATTCTTAAAGGAGTAGAACTTATATCCCAGATGAAAGTGAATAATGTTAAATGCCGCTTATCAATGTTGAAATCACTGCAATAGGTACTAATAAATAAATATATAATCTAATTGAGAATTGAATATTTTGTAATCAGATATGTCGACCTCAACAGAACGTCAGTATCACTCTGAGATTTTATGATTTTGTTCAACAACAAAATATGATGCTACTCATTTCAGTAAAGTCTGTGAAAATAGTACTTCTTTGGGAGTATAAGAACAATCATAAACTGTGTTTCACATCGACTTAACCTAACTTGAAACAAATACAACCAACTGCTTTATCCTTGTCCGCCCTGTGATAACTACCCACCTATTTTGTGGAGTTACAAGAGTTGAGTCGACGATAAAAACTCCAGTATTGTGGAACGATAGCAATGAAGTAAAATAAACACAATCTGACGAATTTAGAATTCAAATGGGTAAACTCCTACTCCACAGAGTACATATTCGAACGCACCCCTATATGACGTTACTATTCTAATCTGGGTCGGCCGATTAACACATGATCAAACGAATTCTTCAGGGTTTGCGGTGCCACAAGCGCATCCACTCGGGCGGCATGTACAAGTGCAAGCAGTGCGACAAAGAGTACACGCGGCTCAACCACCTGCAGCGCCACGAGCAGTCGCACAACAGGCGCAAAGTCCATGTGTGCCGGATCTGCAGCAAGACGTTGACCAGGATGGAGCATTTGAAGAGGCATCTGGTGACGCACTTGCGCGAGAAGCCGTTCTCGTGCAAGACGTGCAACAGGGGCTTCAACAGGATCGAGCATCTGCATAATCATGCTCCGCGGTGTAAAGGTATGTTCGTGGGAATTTATTTGGAAATATTAACATTTTCTAAGTGCTACTCTATCTTATCTTAGCTTTTGATTCACATGGCTTGATGGTAAAACTACTTATTTCTAATTTTGACATGCATCTTGCTTTTATCGATCCAGTTATCTATCAAATCGCTCACAATTTGTCTAAAGCCAAGAACGTAACCCTGGGAGTGCCGCAGGGGTCCATCCTCGCTCCGATACTTTTTAACCTCTATATGAATGATATAAATCAATTGAATGTTCCAGCATCCCTCATCTGTTATGCTGATGATAACTCGATAATGATCTCTGATAGGGCTGACAAAGAACTAATAGGCAAAATTGACTACACTTTCTCTATTCTATAGTAATGGTTTGTAAAAAATGATTTGTTTCTTAATATCAGCAAGACTTCATCAGTTAGATTCCATACGAGACAAAAACAATGTAATGATCTGAGCTTTAGGGTGGGTGAGTCAACCCTAAACACGAATCAGGAGGTTGTTAAATTCTTAGGCGTATTTCTTGATGAATGTCTTACCTGGAATAAGCACTGTGAAAACATTGTAAAACAAATTAATTAATTAATTAATTTTCAACTCAGGACTCTGAGAAATACCTTGAATTTAAATCAATTGTGCAGTCTCTACTTTGCTCAAGTGGACTCATGTATCCGATATGTTATATGTTTCTGGGGGTCATCTACATCAGCAAAGGATATTTTTCTGGCTCAAAAAAAGGCTGTAAGAAGTATGATGGGCATTCAGAGAATGGATTCCTGCAAGCCTTTTTTCATAAAGTTGAAGATATTAACGCTGCCCTGTCTCCTTATATTTGAATCAAGTATCTATGTATTTGTTAACAAGCAACTGTTTGCTCCCAACAGTGATAAACATGATGTGAATACTCCCTCGAAGAACAAATTCTATATTCAACCAAGCAGAACAAATATTTTGTTAGAAACACTCCAGAGATACCCACCAAATTACATTAATCACTATAGTATTATATTATCATTATTATTATATATGTTGTGTGATTCAGTACCATCACCCCGTATTATGTTTAGAATATCGACGGGTGCTGGTTTTATGACTAAGAGATATTGAATGCATGATTAAGGAGTTACATAAGCTAGATAAGAGAGGGTGACAGGGAATAGTTACGATGAGCAGTAGAGTTGAGACTAGAGAGCTGTAAAGGTGTTATTGTGCTAGAATATAAACTTGATATTTGAGACGTGGATATTATTTAAGCAGCTTCTCAGTTGTTCCCCCTTAACAATTTTGAGTGATACACCAAATATCCTAGGTCCTAGAATATTCAATAACTTACCTGAATATTTGAAAAACGCAAAAAGTATCTTCTTTAAAAAAATGCTTGAAATCATTTCTCATAGAAAAGTGTTTCTACTCACTTGATGAATATTTTCATAAATGACCATGTTTATCTCTTTTATATAATGTTTGTCTATCATATTATGTAATCTGTCATTTATCTAGTTTTAGATTTATATATTTGTAACAACCTAACTATTCCTATGCTTTTTTAGAAAGTCTAAAGGAAAATAAAGATATTTATTTATTTATATTTATTTTTTCTAATTTTGACATGTAATTTGACACTTTTCAACACTAACGGATGTTTTGAAATGTCTTCCTATGCATAACCAGTTGCGTTAAGTGAAATATTACATAACTGGTGTTGAAATTAACATTGATAAACAATGATACTCGTGATGCCATCGGGCCCAGAAATCTGTTCAAGCGATTGCAACAAATCGGGGTCTGGTAAACAGGTAAGAGGCTCGGTTGTTAAAAAATGACCAGGCGTGAGAACAGATAAATCGTGAGGGTCTGTGCTCAAGGGGCAGAACGGGTGAGAATTTAACATGAATTCGATTTGTACCATATATATGTATATATAACTATATTATAAATACTATACAACACCAGTCATCCATATTAATACTCAAGCCAGTAATACCACATGATCAGCTTGAAAATATTCTTCCAGTGAATAGAAGCAATGTTCCAGGAGATTTTGCTTTATTTTATTCTTAAATTTAATGAAACAGAGATTTTTAATTCTATGAGGCAATATATTGTAAATGTCGTAATCCAAGGAGTTCGTCTGAGATACAGTAAGTCTAAACCGAGGATTACATATCTTCATCGCATGTCTGGTGTCATGTTCATGAATATCACTGAGTTCTGAGTATGTTGGATTGTTTGTGAACCTCTTGAAATGTTTTATAGATAAACAAGGTTGGTAATGGCATTATGCCATATACTATGAATAAGGGTTGACAGTGTTCTCTATAAGATGCATTGGCGAAATATGATAGGAGAATGAGAAGGGTTTCCCCATAATAAAACGTCATAATTTATATGACTGTGAAATAAAGAAAAGTAAACAGTTTTTAAAGTTACAGAATTCATGATACTCTTGAGCTGTCTGAGAAGAAATATGGTACTTGAAAGTTTTTTCTGTAAAAGCTCAATATAATGGTGCCAATTTTGTTTTTCATCAAGCATGATTCCTAGTAAATTCACGCTATTACCTTTATGGCAAGAGGGATGCGTTGACATAACAATTTTTAGAGTTTTATTGGTATTTAATTGTTGAGAAACTCGGTATATTTTCTAGTTCAGGGACGGTTGTTAGGGAAACGGTAGTTTTTTGAATGATTGATATGTATTCAACTCTGTATGAATATACGAATTGAAAACTACTATAAGCCTTGTTTTATAAGCCAGTTGTTAATATTTTTGAGCCAAAGGTCCTTCGAGTTATCAGCCATTATAAGCCCAAACATTAATTTCAATTTATTATATTCTAATCACTCCTCTGCTCTTTTTTTCGATAAACTCTGTTTCAATGATGAGATCTTGATAATTAATTACTTCCAGAACAAATAAGTGTAATGTCGTCAGCAAACAAGACACATTTGGTGGCTTGCATGAACTCAAATATATCATTCATATAAATAATGAACAGTAGTGACCCGAGGACCGAACCTTGGGGCGCACCATGTACGACAGGAAGGTAATCTGAACAAGTGTTGTTGAAAATAACCTTCTGGAAACGAGTTCCTAAATATGATTTAATAAGTGATAAAACTACTCCTCTCAAACCATACAGTATAATTTTTCCATTCAGTTAGCTAATGTTCTCTTCAGCCATTTTCAACTAAACTCTTGCTGCACTACTGAAATGTTTGCAATATTTTCATTATATAAAATTACTACCTCGTATTTTTCCACGTAAATAATTGCAGGCGACACCGTCTATCCGTGCGACATCTGCAACAAGGCGTTCAACCGCGAGGACAGCTTGGAGGTGCACAAGAAGATGCACGACAACAAAGCGCCCAAGCTGCCGACCATCGAGAGCCTGGACAACATCGAGGACCACTACTACCAGATCGACCAGGACATCAACGACGAGGCTGCGTTCTCCGATCACGACGACGAGGAGGTCGACGACTGCTTCGAGCCGCAGGTGGAGGTGACCGAAAGCGTCGAGGAGGAAAAGATTGAGGTATGTTGTTTTTTTCAGGCAGGTTTTTATATTTTTGAATGCCCGAGTTGTGCTGAAGAGACTTGGCACCAATGTCTTCAGTCTCGGCTGTGAACCATTAGAATTATGAGAAATTTAATGATGATAATAATACTATTTATTTCATATTGTAAGAGATACAGAAACAAGTGGTTCAGGTAAATCAGACAAAAGAAATTACGTCAACAAAAAAGGTAGAGGAAATCATATACAGAAGTCTACAAGGTTATAAGGTTCCAGTTGAATTAGTTTTGTTTTCATTTCAGACTTGAAGATTTTTTCACATTTTATAGCCTTCATCCAGTTAGGTAAGGCATTGTAGAATTTAACAACATGTGTATTGAGGACATTTTTCTGTTGAAGTTAACCTATGTACAGGATATTTCACATTCGTTGTTCTAGTGTTGTATGCAGTTTGGTTAACAGAGTGAAATCTTTCTTTATTTCTGAAGTAAAACATCAAACATTCATATATGTACAAGGCAAAGACACACAAAGAACATTTTTGAGGTTAGATTTTTCAATCCAAATTTGATGTGAACTTGATCATCATTCAAGTTCACACCAAAAAGGTACTCTTGGTAAAACTCGATACTGTGTTCCGTTTTCGGAATATTTCGATATGAAAATGATGAAGTGGTAACCGTTGCTGGTAGCAAGCTATGTATTAGAGTGAATATTATGAAAAATTATCACCTATTTATTGAAAACCGAAAACAACAACACATTTCTGATGCAAAACTCATTGATTTAACAATGAATCACAAGAATAACATCAAAACAGATTTGACTAAGAACATGGATTACACATTCTTGAGCAGAAAGTCTATGCTACATAGGTGAATTCACGTCAAGAGTTGTGAGTCATAATTCATTTTATACCAGCATCATTACTACTCCATTAATTTCAAATCGAAATATTCCGAAAACGGAACATAGTATCGAGTTTCACCAGGAGTACCTTTTTGGTGTGAAATTGAATGATGTTCAAGTTCATATCTTAATTGGATTGAAAAATCTAACCTCGAAAAAGTTATGTTCAAAACTACTCGGTACGAACCGTGTAACTAGCGCCCTCTATCAGAGTCAGATATAAAAACAAATTCATGCGATGTGTCAGATTTCAAAAAACATCCATACAAAATGTCATTACAATGTTGCCAGTAGTTTCGGAATAATCGTGAAAAATGTGTAAAAATAGTTATTTATTATACAAGGGAAAAAAGTAGTAGATTTTAGCTCCAGGTTGTGTTGTCTCCCGACGCGTAGCGGAGGGAGACAAAAAACCGTGAGCTAAAATCTAATATTTTTCCCGTGTATAATACACTATTTTTTTCTGTGACAGAAGGAAGGACGAATCAATATTGGGAAGATATTACATTATTTCGAAATCTGAAAATTATCGACGTGAAATTTCAAGTTTTTAACAGTAAGGACACCTGCGTTTTATAGACATCTTCATCATTCTTTTGAAGTAATCAAATATCTGATGTCACTTCTGTCAGTTCAATTCTGTGATTTGATTTTAAAAAATTACGAATTCAGTAGTTGTTTAGTAATATACGAAACCGCGAAGTCGAATGGAAGATAAAAGGACTTGCAGTTCTTTCTCGGAGACGGTATTATTGACTTATTTTTCGGAACTATAGCACAACAAAAGCCATTAACAGAGTATATAGATGTGATATATATCCGGGAAAGAAGTACTCACTTTTTTCCCACGGGAAAAAAGTAATTTATGAAAAGTGACATTTTATAACCTGCCAACAGAGATGAAATGCCAAACTTTTTTCCCGTCACAGAAAAAAATAATTTTTTCAACACCTTGTATCATGAGAACGGATGCCGTTACGACATTTTTTCACTGAGCAAACCCAACTTATTTTGCAATGTTCTACCTACCCTAGCAAGGGGGTTAGGTTTTTTGAAACACTTTGTATCTGTGAGCCTCTCTGCTCTGGAAAGTTTGGTTCTGAAACAGATTATGTTTGTTTTTTCTTTGTTGAGAATGAGCCTATTTAGGGTTGGAGAATTATAGATAAATAGATAGATAGATACTTTTTCCATTTAAAATATTCACAAATGAACAAACATGTCAAAAACATAATATCAAACAGAACATAAAAATAAATAAAAGAATAAATTGTCTTTGAAGACATATATAACAATATGAAATGAAGTATTATAATTCAAATAAAAAATTCGTCTAGTGATCAACAGCATTTTTTAATTAATACTTTCATCAATATTTTTTCGAAAATGTTCACATTGGGTGCGGATTTGATTTCAGTATTCCATTTAATATACAATTCGCACCTGATGAAATAAGAACTCTTTTGATAATGTGTAGTGGGGTGAGAGTTGGGTCGTAACAAATTGCAGTAGCTAGTGTTATAATCATGAGGTGGTAGGCAAGTTGAAATGCCATTTAATTCATAGAAATATATACATACTTCTAATTTACTAAAGGACTAGTAGATCACATCAATAGAGACTTGTCCACATATCATAAATGGCTCTCAAAAAATATGCTCAAACTGAATAACTAAAAAACAAACTTCATGATTTTTAGGCAAAAAAATTCCTCAGATTAGAAATTGTACAATTACGTACAATGATGACATTCATGAATACAGAAATAATCTGCACCTTCAAAGTGTAGGAACAAATACAGCATTAAGAAACCCTGTGAACAAAGGAATGCAAACATATAATTCTTTTCCAAATTCATTTAAAAGTAATGAGAAAAAAAATAACTGTAAACATGAAAAAGCACTTATTTACAAATTAACAAATTACAATAAAGCAATAAATAAAAAATTGGACACAATCGGAACTCCGATACCAACATCATATATGTTGCTTAGGAGTTACTTTTGTTCAGAACTCTGAATAGTATATGTATAACTTTTAGGAAAACACTGTAATATGTAAATACTTTTCTGAACAAAGCTTAACTTGAAAAATATCTATGCTGTATGTAAGGATTTTGAGTTCTTTGAAGAGTTCTCTACAGCTAGTCCTCATGTCAGTATTTTCAATGATCATAACACATATTTTGGTGAAATAAACACTGTTTCCTGTGGCACGTAAGTTACCAAATTTGTTTACTACAGTGATTTTCCATATATTAGATGCTGTAGCATCAACGCGAAGAATTAAATGCCAGTGAACAATGCAAGGATCTACACCTTGTGACTTGAATTTTGTCCTAAATGTCCTCAGTAGTGCAATCCTGAAATATCCTGGTCTCATAGAGTAATAGAAATTATCTCAAACCTTCATTATTCATTTGCATAAATTTTAATCCTATAGATTCAATTCCTAATAGTTACAGCAGCTACTATCTGTAATGCAGGAAAATCAGGGTGCAATTATGACATCACCCTCAATTGAGAGTGAGATAGTTTTGACATGTGAAAATATGCGTTTGCTCTGTTGGTGTTATTTTTATCCCAGCAAAATTTTTTGAATGCATTATACTATTTATTGATAGTTATAGTATTAATAGGGCATTTCTCTCATTTTCACACTTTGTGAGATTGAATTATTGCAAATACTGTTTTTACATTTTTGTAAATTGATTCAAAGTAATTTTTTGCATCAACTTTTGACGATAAAAAGATCGATATCAAGTGCAGTTGGAAACTTTAATTTTTTGTGTATTAGGAATTGAAAAAAAAAAGTCCACTAAAGTCATTCTCAACCTACAGCTTGGATTAATAATAATGTTCAACCCACTGCACTACCACTAACCAAACCATTTTTTCAACTCGTGTCAGTTTCAGTATCCTGAAGATGCTAACATGGTTAGCATAGTGTTGAGGCGTTTTAAAAAAAATCGGTTTGGTTAGTGGTGAAACAGTGTAGTGGATTATCATGCCAAAGGTTCCAGTCCTTGATATAATAATTTACAAGCTTCAATTCAAGCAACTGCTTCAATTAAATTATTGAACTATTTTTTCAGATTCAATTAGATGAATGTTCTGGATTCCTCGATATTTTTCAACTTCCATATATACAGACATTTTTCTTCTTCATTTCTAGATTGTTGCTGACATCAACACCAAAGATGATGACAGCAATGTCAGTGATGGATCCTTAGGAGGAGATATGGATGATATGAACGATATGATGGACAGCGACGATGAAGCAAAAGAAGATAATGAAGACAGCATGGACAAGGGACTCGATGAAATCATCGAGAATGAAGAAGATGAGGAGGAGGAAGAGATGGACAAGAAGGATGTCAAAGTGGAAGAAGGTGCTGTAGCAATGGCAAATGAGGATGTGGATGAGTTGGTTAGAGAGGCTATCGCCGAGGCTGAAGGTAATTTTTTTTCTTGAATATTCAAATCCTCAAAAATTAAACATCTTACACTATTATACACAAACACATCTAATGGAGGCTAACATTTGCATTCTCACCAGCTGGAGTTACTAGAGAAGAGTCGGATAGCCAGATAGCCCTAAAAGCTGTGACTTGTTTTAATCTAAAATATTCTGAAAAAATTATGTGTCCTATTTGAACAAATAAAAATACTCACGTTATGGAAAGACACTTGAGCAGACTCGCGTTTTTTTACTCTCAATATGGAACATCACGACCAATTGTTACATTGATGGAGAAGAAGATATCTTAGAAAGAGGCCAAATGACACGAAAAGGAGAAGTATATTTATCAGTTTCACCAACTCTGACCTCAGGTCTCAGCGCGATCTGGTAGAGAATTAAATAATATTATCCCTCATTACAGAATTCCATGATGATCCAACTTATCTTAGTTTATCAGTATTATCAGATGGATAATAAATGAATGAGCAAGTATGAAAATGGGCTTATATCACAAAACGTTTTTATTTCATAATTCGATAGAACTCACCCAAACTAGCTCACCACCGCAAACCGTTTCTTGCTGTGACCTCCCTACGTTTTATAAAAAAATTATTGAAATCCCCGATTTTTCGGACCTCTGAAAACGAGGCGATGATGTGACGTCAAAACCCTATTACTGAAACAAGACTATTCCAGACAGAGATGAATGATACATGATTTCTAACAGAGTGAATTAGCGCGAGATCACAGTTGAAAGAATTAATATATCAGTTGCCTCAGTGTCCATCGGGCTTTTGGTATTTTCTTTTAACTATTGCTAGATGAGGTTTCTACGTCATAAGAGGGGTCCGTTTTCAGAAGGTACTATTATTTATGACCAAAAATAAAACATTCCAGTTAATTTTTCGATCGAATTATGTCGACAATCATTATTTATGTATAAAAGGATCATTATAAACATGGTTTGAGTTAAAAGTTCTACTAAGGTGTACACGCCCATTGGAGCTGTACCTAATTAACTGACACAATGCTAGCATGATATCCACTGAATCTCATTAATGTATGGCTAGTTGAGAGATAGTGATATCTTTGCAGGATAAGGAATATTTACTCAAAAGAAGTATGATGAATGAGTTTTCAACTTAAGTAGTTGATAAATCTTCATCCTATAATGAAAGTAAAGCTTTCAGAATGACAGATGACTTTTACTAGCGAACAGGGCACAACGATTGTCTTGAACATTACTTTTGTATCCTGTGTGTATCATGTGACCTGAAGCAAGCACCAAATTATATCTGCACAATCAACTCAAGTACTTGATAAGTCTTTAACCTAATACCTGCTCATCTATTTTAGGGATTTTGGATTAAAAATTTACTCATTCAATATCAACCCTCTATAGTAGACCCCTCTCAACCTTTTTCCTTCGATACGCCTATGTTCCTCGGATTCATGAGTGTAACATGACAGATCCTTAATGCGCATGAATCAGTTTCACCAGTTCGATCTCCTGGCTCACCTTTTTCCTTATAGAATTGGCGTTCTTTTATAAGTATATGTATAAGTCGGTGAATGAGCTAAGTAACCAAATCCTTTATTTTCAGCCATCAATGAATATTACCCTGTAGATTTCATTTGACATAACTCGAACGGCCTCTATAGACGGAGAGCCGGGTCGGATTATATACCTTGAATCCCCGGACGATTCTTGAGTTTTGTACAGAGTTGGTCATGAAAACATATCCACAAAATACCAGCTGTGCCGGAGCAAATCTTGCCGAAAGTATTTATTAATAATTGATAACCAGGTGCGTTTTTTTCAATATGAACCTTTTTCTCACGGACACATAAAAAAATCACTAGATGTGCATTTCAATGAGTACAACCAGAAAAAATACAGGGGGTAGCAAAAACGCGTTAACTACTTTTTCGCCCCGGACAAAAAATCATTAACAAAAATTATAGAGAAGGACTAGATAAACACGAAAAACAACCAGTGCCGAATTTAGGGAGGGGACTATGGGCTATCAGCCCACGGCGGTGAATTTTAAGAGGTGGTAGGGAAAAAGAAAAAAAGCAAGCAGCAATATACTCTTCGCCGACGAGGCCACAAGTATTACTAATAAGCGACCGCCGGCAGTCGGCACCACACCAAAAGGACTAGATCGATCGATCATAGAGGAAGTTTGTTGTTCGAATGTTGGGGAATCTGTTTTTGTGAAAATCATCACATTCACTAATCAAGCGTCAGATGTGCGTTGGACGCTATCATACAAAAGCGGTACATACTTTTATTTGATAAAGATGAAGAAAAAACATATTCTACTCAGTAGGGGTAATTTCGTGATTCGTTATACAGAGATTTTACAAATTTTGCAACTCAACATTATCACGGGTATTTCCCGTTTACATGCTGTTAATAGGCTTAAATTAAGTTAGTTTGTAGGAAAAATTTTATTTACTAAACAATTTTCTATAATACGGTTTTGTTAGCTCTCTCAGTTAGCTTGTTTAATTATTTATTAAATTTGAGAGAAGGTTGATGCCATCTACCAGCCGGCAGACAACTTCTGCCGCAGTGGCAGGCCCAACTGGGACATATGGGGCCATACCCATTCTTTCGCCGGCGAACTCCTCACAGTCCAGGATCCTTTGGTCTGTGTTGTCTGGTACGAAGTAGGTGGAGCAGTCCGGGTTGTTGGCTTTGTCAATTCTATGCAGGTGATGGTTCATATAGCCGTGGCTCGATATAAGTAGTATGGTGTCTTGGTGGAGAGCAGTAGAGTGAGAAGTAACCCAATTCGATATATTGGGGATGAGCTCATAGTTGAGCCTTCCTTTGGTTGGGTGGTCCCATTCCGCCTGCCATGTTCTCAGCACTATCGACTGAATCTCTGATTTGAGAACAGTCCAGAAGCGATATTCGACGATTTTTAAGATTAAGGTTACCTTCGAGCAATTGTAGGCCTAGGTGTATTGGGACACAGCCAGTCAACACGCACAGCGTCTCATTTGGTGTTGATCGATATGCGCCAGAAATGGTTCTGAGATAGATAGCTTGCGTGGTTCTGAAGTGGTCGAGATTAGTGACCCTATTGGTCTATGTCCCCAGATGCAAATGCCATAGCTTAGGATAGGGATAATTGCCCGTTCGTAGATTTCCTTTAGTGATTGTTGTTCCTTAAGTGATTGTTGGAGGAATTGGATGTTGCCCCAATTTCTCTGCACGAACCTTCGGAGGGCATGGAAGATATTGCGAGCCTTGTCGTTCATGTAGCGGATGTGGTGCTCGAAATTGAGCTTATCATCCAAGTAGATGCCAAGGTATTTTGTATTCCTGACCCTTTTCAGGGGATCAACACCCAGTCTTACGATTGGATTGCGATTGAACGAGAGGTTCGAGAAGACAATGTAGTTTGTTTTTTGCTTGGAAATTTGGAGTTTGTGACTTGACCAACCCTGTAGAAAACTTAAGAATCGTCCGGAGGTTCAAGGTATATAAACCGACCCGGCTGCATGGAGGTAAACACGTGATAACGCCATTCGGAAACTCGTTCGCACCCTGTTCGTATTTTTCAATGTAACACGCGGGCTGGGCGTCCGTCTGGCGCTATCGAGTCTTTCTTTGCGCTTGAAGAACAAACGCAGAAACTCCAAAAATACACTGATTTATTATTCATTAGTAGTCACTTGTCTTCGTGATTTTACCAAGGTAGTATTTATGATGGATTCGTTGTGTTTACCAGATGGCTATTGTTATTTGAAACAAAATAATTTGTTGTGTTGCAAGTTCAGGAATAAAGATGAAGAATTCATTGACCAGTTCCAAAACACACTATCAAAGAATCTGGTAGACGATCCACAACACTTCCAACCAGCATTTATGAAAAATTATCACACAAACGCTAAAACACCACTTCAATTATTAAGTTTATTGCATACTTCTTTTAAAAACACGGAATATAAGCCAAGTCATCCACCAACAACTAGAAAGGAAAAGAAGATATCAGTGTAGCCCACAGCAATAGCAAGATATAGCAAAATATACACTAATTTTTATTTTCTCTCCGGGTAAAAGGAGATTCCAAGCGGCTAAAGCTAAATGGGGGAAGAATAATCCAATGGGCGTGTACACCTTAGTAGTACTTTTAACTCAAACCATGTTTATAATGATCCTTTCATACATAAATAATTATTGACGACATAATTCGATCGAAAAATTAACTGGAATGTTTTATTTTTGGACATACATAACAGTATCTTCTGAAAACGGACCCTCTTATGACGTAGAAACCTCATCTCGCCATAGTTAGAAGAAAATACCAAACGCCCGACGGAGACTGAGGAAACTGATATATTAATTCTTTCAACTGTGATCTCGCGCTAATTCACTCTGTCAGAAATCATGTATCATTCATCTCTGTCTGGAATAGTCTTGTTTCAGTATTAGGGTTTTGACGTCACATCATCGCCTCGTTTTCAGAGGTCCGAAAAATCGGGGATTTCAATAATTTTTTATAAAATGTAGGGAGCTCACAGCAAGAAACGGTTTGCGGTGGTGAGCTAGTTTGGGTGAGTTCTATCGAATTATGAAAAAAAAAATTCTTGTGATATAAGCCCATTATACTGCATTCGCTTGACAAATGTGTGAAAAACAATGTAGGATTGGGTGATACAAAAATAGCGAAATAACTATTCGCTTCATTACTGTGGTACTCACATTTCTTTCAATGTTGTAATAATTAAACTTCTTTTCCTAAATAGTTATCCTTTATTTCACCCACTTTAAGGAACAAGATGGCTCCTTTCCTATTACTGATCTTTGAGGAATTGCTTGAAACTTTTCTGAATTAAGTTTCGCGAATATCATTACTGTAAAGTAGCACTTGATAGCGCCAGACGGACGTCCATCACGCGTGTTACATTCAAAAATACGAAGGGGCTACCGAATGGCGATGCCACGTGTTACTTACCTCCATGCGACCCGGCTCTTGGACTACTATACGAACGGTTAACTTCCAGCCGCCGACGTATCGGACAAGGACAGCGACGACAGCGACTACGTGCCGAAGAAGACGTCGCCCAAGGGCAAACGCGGCCGCGGCAGGCCGCGCAAGAACCCCGAGGCGCCGCGCAAGCCGAAGAAGACGAAGGTGCCGGGCAGGGGCAGAGGTCGGCCGCCCTCCGCCAAGACGTTCGTCAAGAAGGAGAAGGAGGAGGAGGAGTACGGCGACTTTCCCTGTCCGATCTGCGGCGAGATGTGCCACTCGCTGATGCAGCTGGACCGGCACGCCAGGATCAAGCACGAAGGGATGAAGGTTAGTTTCGTTGTGGTCTACATAGATAGATTGTTTTTATTTTGCCGCTTTATATTGATTACATGCTTATTGCAAGTTGAAGTAAGTAGGGTAAAATTGCATTTATCGTGCGATGGTTTTTTTTTTGAAAATTTTTTTTGTACTTACGTATTTTTGTCTGAAAAACACGAATTTGATAATGAAAAAGTGAACAATAGTAGATTGTTTTATTAGGATCAAAAGTGACACTATGTTTGACAAGCGAATTTTGCATTTGCGTGCCAGAGCGTTTAGCGAAGCCGAGTGAAAGCAAAATTTGCGTTCCCCAGAAAAGTCTAATGTGCCATCCACTGTGAATCAGCCTGCATATATACCGGGTGGCTACGGAAGTATTGCCTACGGAATATCTCAGTTATTGTATGAAGTAGGTTTGTGAAATTTGGAGCGTCGATATAATGACATAAGAGCTAGAATTTGAGCATATTGACATGTCGAAGTTAACTTCCGGTCTGACCGGAAGTAACATCAACTTTCTTATTTTAAATGGAAACCCTATTTTTTTTTCTTTTCGCTTTATTCAGCATTCAATTCCCTTTCTAATGACATATCACAAGTTGGTATCTAACCAGAAACTAGATCAGAAAAAAATTATTATTGAAATTCACCGAGTAGGCCGTGGAAGCAAAATGAAAGCCAAAAATTGAAAAGTTGGCTATGGAAACCATACGTCACTTGATAACAGTTGCTACTACTGTGATATTTTATTTTCATTCGTCGGCGTTATAAAAAGCCGCCAAAAAAAAATATTGGAAAAATTGGGAAAAAAACAATACTCTGTAGGTCCATAACTCAAATAGGAACATTCAACTTTTTCTTGCCTGTAGAGTCAACAAAATGTATTGGAATTTTTTTTCGATAAATCTGTTTTTTTTGTTATTTGAAGAATAATAATTGGATTTTTTGGTATTTCATTTCAAAAAATGACTTTCTATTATATCATTAGAAAGGAATGGTTATGCTGAATAGTACAGGCAAGAAAAAGTTGTATGTTCCTATTTAAGTTATGGACCTACAGAGTATTGTTTTTTCCCAATTTTTCCAATATTTTTTTGGCGGCTTTTTATAACGCCGACGGATGAAAATAAAATATCACAGTAGTAGCAACTGTTATCAAGTGACGTATGGTTTCCATAGCCAACTTTTCAATTTTTGGCTTTCATTTTGCTTCCACAGCCTACTCGGTGAATTTCAATAATATTTTTTTCTGATCTAGTTTCTGGTTAGATACCAACTTGTGATATGTCATTAAAAAGGGAATTGAATGCTGAATAAAGCGAGAAGAAAAAAAATAGGGTTTCCATTTAAAATAAGAAAGTTGGTGTTACTTCCGGTCAGACCGGAAGGTAACTTCGACATGTCAATATCTCAAATTCTAGCTCTCATGTCATTATATCGACGCTACAAATTTCACAAACCTACTTCATACAATAACTGAGATATTCCGTAGGCAATACTTCCGTAGCCACCCGGTATATAAATTTTTTCATGCTCATAATTCATCTAAGAATATCCATTTTCTATATTTTTTTACGTTTGTTGAAAAGAAATTATTTGCAACTCGTGCGCGAAATACTGTGGTCATCTCGACTGTATCTCCTTAGAAAAATCAGTTCTCGTTCACCAAAGTAGCATTTTGCGCGCTAGATACAAAAATAACTGATGTTTAATTAGTAAAATGAACTTCATTTCACAAAATTCACCATGTTTTTCAACATAAAAGTTGATTTTTCTCGAAAACCGTAAACTTTAGAGGTTATGACCCAAGATTACCTTTTTTTGTGTAAAAAACATTAACGGTTCAAATGGGTGGCTCAAAACTACTTTTTCCAGTGGCGTAGAAATTGGGAGAAAGATACTCACTGCCCCTTCAAAATATTCCGCACAAGCTTATTATGGGTTGAAATTGCTTACGAAAGCTGTTTTTTGTGCGATAAACGGTTCCAGAGATATTCGCAAAAAACGATTTTTTTTTTCAATTTTCAACACCTTGTATCTCGAAAAAAGTGCATTTCGAAAGGTAAGTTAATAGTATCTTTTTTTCATATTTTTGGACGAGCTATCACATCCCGAAGTCATGCGCATATATTATGAAACACCCTGTCTAAACTGTTCCTACGAAATTGTAAGTATTTTGATATTTTGTAACAATTTTTGTATACTTTCATATTTTTGTAATGTGTAGGTGAATATTCTTTATATTTAATTAATTTTTGTAAGGCAATGTACGTAATTTAGTGAATTATGTTCATAATGACAATACCGCCCACTAGGATAACACAACGCCCGATCATATGACTGTTGGGTGTCATTACCATTCGTGGGCTCTATCGACCTACACGACGGCGATTTTATACCATGGATGAGCAATACTTGAACATATAGGTAATAATTCTTTGCTCTAATAACTCATGCTTTTTTTTGTTATTCTAAACAAAATCTTGAAATAAAATATTTTTCCTGAATCTGACTGAGATATCATTTCAACATGATTTTATTTCTTTCATAATCTACTTGAGTAATTTCTTAGCGAAATACTCCCTTCATAAACTCTGTTTTTTCTTTAGGACTGTAAAATGTCATCACGTACAAGTAGAAGAAAAAGAGGGGAGTCATGGACAGAAGAAGGAATGAGAGCTGCAATCACTGCTGTGCAAAAAGGCCAACTGACTCAGAGAGCTGCAATTACAAAATATAATATTCCGCGACGTACTTTTAGGAACCATTTGAAAGTAGGAAGCGTTACGAAACGTTTAGGACGAAAACCAATTTTAACAGATAGACAGGAATCTGATTTGGCAGCAATAATAAAGAGATTTGCAGAAATTGGAGTACCTCTCACACCAGAATTCATTAGAAAACAGGCTTTCCTTTTTTGTGAAAGATATGAGATGCCAAATAACTTCAATGAAACTAAAAGAACAGCCGGTGCCGATTGGCTAAAACAATTTTTGAAACGCAATCCATCAATTAACGAAATAAAATCAAAGATTATCAATCCAGCACAAGCACAAAATCTGAATAAACCGATTGTAGAGCAACATTTTCAGGCTGTGAAAAAGTTGTATAATGAGTTGGACATCCTGCGGCATCCTGAGCGATTATACTATATGGATGACAAAGGGTGTCGCATAGCTTTACACAAACAACAAACAGTGTTGGCTGATAAAGAAGGTAGAAAGGTCGCCCCTGAACTCGCTGAAAATGTGATCATTGCATTGTGTGCTAACGCCATTGGTACGGCAATACCACCTATGATATTATTCGAAGGGCAAACAAAACGACCTGATTTGTCAGAAAACCTACCAGCTGGCACGTTGGTAAGAATGGCACCGACGGGTAACATGACGTCTGATTTGTTTGTGGAATTCATCGATCATCTAGGGAACTTCAAGGTGGCTGGAAAATGTTTACTAGTTTTAGATGGTGCTAAATGTCACCTCTCCAGCAAGGTACTTGATGAAGCTGATAAAAATGATATAGTATTGTATTGTCTTCCTCCAAACACAACACATGAGCTTCAGCCATTAGGAAAATCAGTTAATGACTCCTATGAACAGCATTGGGATGAAGCTGTAATGAGCTTCTTGTATGCTAACGCTGATGAAAAATTAACAAAAACCACATTTAGTCAGATATTCAGTCAAGTCTGGCCCAAATGTATGACACACAGCAACATAATTGATGGTTTTAAGGCAACAGGTCTCTTTCCTTTCAATCCTGAAGCAATTTCAAAAGAAGCATATGCACAATCGATTTCATCATAAATTCCATGCCTTCCAACTCGTAAGCAGCCTATGCTGGATTCAGAGTCAGACACTGGTATGCATAATACAGTTCAATTCTAATGGAATATTTCCGTTGCTTGACAATGAAACAGTATCACTTCTGTAAAATTAGCAGAGAATTATAAGACTAAAATACCTTGTAGAGTATAGTTCGTCTACTGAATGTTCAGAAGGAGAAAAATATCATCTCTGTTTTCAGTATTGCAAGTGTGGCTTTTATATATTACCATACGTTCACAGTTATTCTTTATCTGAACAAAAGAATGAAAGTCATTATTCATTTGCTCTTTATCGTTTCATAAGGCCCAATTTATGTTTTCCAATAGATCATTCCTATCAAATACTTATTTTTGGACACAACACTCTATATGACTTTTGTAATCTGGCCTTGAAAAATGTTGGTAAACATGATTATAATCAAAAGTTGAAAATAACTTTCTGCTTGTTGAAAGTTAAATTGTTCTCATGTTGAATGTTGATTAGCTATATTCTTTTTATTTCTAGTAATAAAATTCTTATGTGACTGTTTATTTTATTAGATTTATAACCCATGAAATGATTATAACCAAAAGTTGAAAGTTACTTTCCGCATTTTGAGAGTTTAATAGTTTTTATATTAAATGTTGATTTGCTATATTCCTTTCATTTCTAATAAACAAAGTTGAATATTGCTGTTATGTTTTATTAGATTTATAACCCACAAGAATGTGTTTTTGCGTCCAGCAATTTAGTGAACGGGCAGTAATAAACAGTATTTTCAATAAATCCCAAGACAACATTTCAAAAAATACAGTAGAATGCAGGGTTGCGACGATTTATGAAATGCAACAAAAAGAAGATATTGTATTAAAAGTAAGTGTACATACATTATGTAAGTGTAAAAACATAACTAATCGTTATCAGCCCAACGTAAATATGCATTCAACCGCACATAAAGATAACGACATTTTCTTGTTTTGACAGGAAAGCCACGACACGCTGCCGAAAATTTGTATGCCATCTCATCTCAATTTTGTTTTGTATGTCGCCGGAGAGATTTTCTTACTGTAAATTTACACAATTATTTTTGGGCTAACAGTGAAAAATAATGAAAATAAGTAATTTTGAAGTTCATTATTTCCACATTCAAGGAAAAAATTAGTATGAATCAAAAAAATCTCGGTGTAATCGAAAAAAGTTGAAAAATCGTGATTTTTTGCAACTCTGGTAGAATGAAAGTCATGAATAGGGTATTTTTATGTACAGGGTGATCTATGAAATGAATTCGAAGAATCATTCAGTGGGGGTTTTCCACCGAATATAGTGAACCAGCGGTACACATACAGTTCTAACAGTAGAGAAAGATTAGTTGAAAATGGCATGAAACATCGAACTGCACTCAATTTTAAAGTAAACATGTCTCTTTTAGACGTCGTTTGAATTTCGAGATTGTGATTCCAAGCACATGAATCATTTCATTTTGCGTCTACTAAAGAATGTTTTCTGTCCTTGAAACTTTGGCGAATTCTTATCAAAAAACGTCAACAATCACAGTCTAGACTAGAAAAGGATCAAAACGAGATTAGTGGGACTCCTTCATTTTTGTTTGTCAAATGAATTAATCCTACAGTTGTCAGGTGTCAAAGTTCATCTGGAAACTACAGAAATTACTATTTATTCTTGTCCTAGTATGTGGAAAGATTCATATAGTGCATTCCAGTTAAGAATGAAGTGTGTAATGAGATAGGGACTGTGTGACCTCGCTTTCCATTGGGTGATATCATTATTGATGATGGAACAGTGGAAGTAGTTTTTACCGGTAGGCTGTGAATAACATATACGTATTAATAAACAATACGGATCATAACGGGTGCCAGGATGAAGCCAAAAATATGAAACAAATGAATATCCATAAGGATTTGGTGGCATGATACGCATGCGCCATGCGCTGTTATAGTAGTCATCAAAGACATGCGTTTCGGTGGACAATGACGTTTACTAGCCTTTCAATCAAAGCAGTATGTGTCTGATCGTTTCAAAACTTTTCCTTATGGATAGTCATTTGTCTTCAAAAATCGGCTTCATGTTTCGCTATGGAAACAGATAGAGATTATCCGTATTGATTATTAATACGTATATGGTGAATTGTAGTCTAAAATAAAATGTAAAATTGAGGTGACTGACTATCAATATTTTGATTATCAATATTGATAATTTCAATCATGGCAGGACACGGATTCGTTTCTCATCGACATTCCATAGTCAGCCGTTACCGGTCCACTAACCACAAAAACCAAGATTTAATAAACTCGATCTGAACCATCAATATTATTATTATTATTGTGTTTTCAACTCAAAAACTAATGACTTCATTTATTTTCTATCCTGCAAAATGTACTTTCGATGTTAGTTACAAAAATATATAAGCAATTCAGCACTGAATCCAGCAATCATTCTCAAATATTTGTATTTGCTGGAGCTGGCTCTGCCTCCCACTGTATTCTTATCTGGAATGGAATATACTATAGTTGCTTTATTGTTAGCTGGATGACATTTCCTTCATACAGATCATCTTCATCAATTCACACCAAATGAGCTTCAGTTATGCAACATGGATACATCGCGCAGAGGACTGTTGCCAAATCACCAACGGATGTTTACCGATTATTTGGTCATATAGCATGTGTTTTGGTCTCGGTAATCGATCATAAATATTATGTCATTTCTTACATAACATGAAAATAGCATTCCGTTTAATTGTCGGCTAGTGATAATTACTTGAGATAATAAGACTTGTGCAATATCATCCCATTTCTTATTTTCAAATGGGATAATACCTCTTCTGACATCTAACTCGAGAGTTCTTCCAAAAACTAACTGACTGCGCATTATTTATAATTCTTATTCAACGGACACGTATGAAGCCCCACAAAAAATTAGAATCAATGTATTCTTGCATTTTTGCGAAATCCTCTCTTGAACTTCTAGCGAGTTTTTTCTAGTCCCCAACCTGTAAATTTATATCGAGTATCGGCCGAGCCAGTTGAAAGTTTAAAAAATCTTGGTTTTTGCAGGTTCACAAATGCAACGTCTGCAACAAAGAATTCTCTAGAGCCAACCACCTGAAACGTCACGTCACCTCGCACTCGACCATCAAACCTTTCCGATGCGGCGTGTGCACAAAGAGCTTCAACAGGCGCGATCACCTCAACCAACACCAAAAGTTGCATCAGCGGCACAATGACTTTGAGTGTGACGTGTGTCAAAAGCCGTTCAACAGGGCCGACCATCTCGCTAAGCACAAAGCGTCCAAGCATGGAATCGGTGAAAAGATTTGTGTAAGTGATCTTTTTTTTATGTTCTGCTTCCCACGAAAAGGGATATCCTGTAATGTTCAGAGAACATCGTGAGAACCAAAGGAAATAAGGTGGGAATTGGTGTTCTTCTTGAATGTCTCGAGATTATATGTCTCGGGAAACACCTCTCTTGGCAATGTGTTCCAGAACCATGCTGTTTGTTGGATGAATGGGTCTTTGGGAAGAGATGATCTGCAAGTCTCCAAAGTGACCACGAAGAGGTGCGAAGCCTCAACTCGACGAGTTAATCTCGCGGGAACTGCCAAGAGAGAAACAATTGTTGATATTTCCGAAGAGCATCGTCCATGAAAATATCTATAAAATAGAGCCAGATCGCCAACTTTTCTACGGTGTTCAGAGAAGTGAGTGAGTTTGTGAGCGAGGCATCACCCACGAAACGAATTGTCCTTTTTTGTACAGAATCCAACAGTTTCTGGGTATGTTTGGGTGCTGCACACCAAATATGGGAACAGTATCCCAGGACAGGTCGAATCTGTGCCTTATAGATCATCAGCAGTTGACTGGAAGTGAAATAGCTCCTGGCTTGAAACAAAAAACCAAGTTTTTGTGATGCACTTTCAGCAATTGATCTCACGTGATTTTCCCAAGAATGGTTACATGGACATGAAGTTGCTTCCAACAAATCGTTGATATGGAATAGAAATAGTGTTGGTGCTAGAATTGATCTTTGCGGAACACCAGCATTTATGATAAGAGAGTCAGATGAAACTCCGTCGACCACTACATGGAGAGACCTGTTTGAGAGAAAACTAGCTAGCAGGGTACATAGGGGAGGCAAGCCATAAGATGGAAGCTTGGCGAGGAGTCCGTAGTGCCAGACTCGATCGAATGCCTTGGAGATATCAAGTGCCACGGCTAAGGTTCCACCATATTTTTCAATAGATTGCTGCCATATATATGTGAGACCATGAAGTCATATTACCTATCGTTGATAATGCCTGAATGTTCCAGGTATTTCATGAACTCGATGTTGATAGCTTTCTCCACGATCCTCGAAATAATAGATAGCAGTGCGATCGGTCTGTAGTTGCTACATAGGGTCTTTTTGCCTTTTTTAGGAACTGGTTGTTCTCTTGCAATTTTCCAGTTGGACGGGAATATCCCCAATTTGTGAGAGTAGTTGAACAACTTGCAGAGAACAGGTGTTACTTCGGGAGCACATTACTTGAGAACAATCGGTGGGATTCCGTCGGAGCCACAAGCTTTGTTGGTGTTGAGACCCAATAAAATCTCCCTTATAGTACGTTGGCGAAAGGTGATCTCGGGCATATGACTGTCAATTGGCGTTATATTTGAAGGTTGTTTTCCCGATGAATCCAGAGTAGAATTTCCAGCAAATAAATGCGCAAAAATGTTGGCTTTCTCCTGGGCAGTTGTGGCTAGTGTTCCATCTTCCTTGGTTAGAGGAGGAAACGAGCTGGAAGTGAAGTTTCTTTCTACAGCTTTGGCGAAGGACCAAAATGAACGGGATTCGTTAGGACATTCAACAAGCTTTGATCTTAATTTGGCATTATGAGCATTCTTTGATGATCGAATTGTCTCATTGCATATGCCTCTAGCCTCGACATATTCTGCTCTAGGCTCAGGGCATGGATTTTCATGCCATTGATGGAATGCTGCCTGTTTGGAAGCGACAGCTCTTGAGCAGTTTCTACTGAATCAGGCCTTATCGGAAGATGTCCTGCTTGCAGTGTTCGGTATGTAGGTTTGCATCCCCAACATGATGATTTCAGAAATTGTTTCAGCACAGCGTGTTGGATATGCTGAGGAGAAACAAAGTCTCTTCCATGGAAACGCTGAAAAAAACATACGAAGACCTTCCCAGTCGATAAAAATGTAAAGATCTTGTCAATATTTGACCAAGTCTATACCGTAAGATGACTTGTGATGCCACATAGCACGGGTTGTGTAATTAACTTATTACCCCAAGGAGATGAAAAATCTGATTAATTAGACCTCATTTGTTTTTAGCGAGGATATCAAGGAATACCAATCGAACCTCTCAGTCAACGAGGGATACTCACTAACATAAATTACTGTCGTTTATGATCAGACCTGTTCGTTTGTATTTGCTCTACCTGCTAAACTTGCTTTTTTCTATGACTTCATCTGTTTACATCATGCCATGAACAGAGACAACTATGGGAACAAAAACAACTTCAGCAAGTTCAGCAACACAAACGAACAGACCTATCTAGGCATGTCTCTTGGTGTTTGGAAACATAAGTAACATTAAGTAAGGTATATGACAGGTCCCGAATGCACAAGTTCGTCAGTTTGATCTCGTGAGCGGCATTACTTCTTATGGCATTAACGGTCTGGATAGTAGCTTATGTTAGAGTTCCTTAATGAACGTGACAGTCTTGTGTATATTAGAGTACGGGCATTATGACAAGAACTGTCAGTCAGACATAACCATGAATAAAGCATCAATTTCAATGGTTTGTCAAACTAAGAACGAATTCGTAAAATAATAGGGTTGCAAGTTTGTGCTGCAAATATACTAGGAATCGATTTACTTTATTCGAATTTCCATCAAATAGAACACTTACAAAAATGTAAAGAAAACATGAAGCGGCCGGCGTAGAATATAGGTTCAACAAAGATAATTTGCGAGGTGAGCAACAATTTATAAGCAGGATGAATATAAAAAAACCAACTGATTCAGAACAGAAATGGAACTAGATACTTGTAAAAAATTAATAGATTTCTTTTAAACAAATTTTGAATGAAATAGACTTGATAATCGAAAATTTAGAGCACTAATTAAAAGGTTGAGGAATTCAGGGAACAAATAATAGAAGAAGAAATAGAGAGTTGGAAAATACATTGAAATTATTACCTATACTTTCCTGAATTATTTCAGATTTGGAACAAAACGAACATATATCATCTAAAGAATGCAAATGTTCAGACAAATTTTGAGTAAAATTCAGTTTTGATGAACGAAATCGTGACAAAAATTGCATTTGGAAAAATCGAATGGAAGATATGAATGATAAATTGAAAAATATTTGTTGGCGAAGTTGCAATTAATGAGCATGATGTATCCTGAATTTCAAAATGTAATGGTAATAGAGATAGGATGCAAAAATTTTTTATAAAGAATTAGTTATTAAAATGTAGTTATATAGCTCATCTGGTCACAATTCTTTATAGGAATTTCAATACGAATTACCATCGCTGCGAACTTTGAATGGACGAATCGTTTTTGGTTATGTCTCAGTGTCACTGGTTGTCGAGTGTCCGTACTCTAATGTACAAAAAACGTCAAAACAAGAGTGACAAGTATATTAACGTTGAAATTGAAAACGATAATCTACCAGACCCACTAAACCCTCACATGAGGGCTGCTGTTGGGGACTGGCGGGTATCGAAGAAGATTGTTGACCACAGTAAACTGCTGTGGGTCATAGAAACTCTTGAATCCTACAAGGCGCCGGGACCGGACGGAATTATCCCTGCAATGCTACAGCAGGGTAAGGACCAGCTGGCTCCGTTTATTTGTGGGATATTGAGAGCAAGCCTGGCAACGGGGTACATTCCGGTTGCATGGAAGAGAGCGAGGATCGTCTTCATCCCAAAGCCTGGAAGAGATTACTCTCAGGCTAAGGCGTTCAGGCCGATAACACTATCATCATTCATGTTGAAGGTGATGGAGAAGTTAATTGAAATGCATATCAGGGAAAACTTTCTCATTGAAAGGCCACTACATAAAAACCAGCATGCATATCAATCGGGAAAATCCTGTGAAACGGCACTTCATCAACTGGTGGGGAAACTTGAGGCCGCAATAAGCAACAAGAGCATAGCTCTTACGGCTTTCCTGGATATTGAAGGGGCATTCGACCACACACCCTTCATATCCATGGTAGCAGCGGTTGTTGAGCGTGGCGTGGAAGACACCACATGTCGGTGGATAAAAAACATGCTACACAACAGAACAGCGGAATCCACATTGCTTGGTGAAACCATGGAGGTGACGATTTCTAGGGGTTGCCCACAGGGAGGAGTTCTTTCTCCCCTGCTGTGGGATCTGGTTATTGACGAACTCCTGAAAAAACTAAACAATGTAGGAATTTACTCACAGGGGTATGCAGATGATGTTGTCATTCTAGTAGAGGGGCGGCATCCTGAAATTATTTCAGACTTGATGCAGAGAGCCCTGAAGATAGTAGAGGGCTGGTGCAGAAAGGCAGACCTCAGGGTCAATCCTAGTAAAACTGCACTTGTGGCCTTCACGAAAAAGAAGAAACTGGACAAACTAAAAGTTCCCAGACTTTTTGACACACAGCTAAGTATGACACAGGAGGTTAAGTATCTGGGAGTAACCCTAGATGCTAGGCTAACCTGGAATACTCAACTGCGAAAAACTGTCAGCAAAGGCAAAATGGCACTAATGGCTTCTCGGAGAGCGATTGGTAACACATGGGGACTGAAACCACGCATGGTACATTGGCTGTATACTGCTGTGGTGAGACCAATGATTGTATATGGATCGCTTGTCTGGTGGCCTAAGACTGAACAGAGATCAGCTATAATGGAGCTTTCAAAACTCCAGAGATTAGCTTGTCTCTGCATCACAGGTGCTATGCGCAGCACTCCTACCGCTGCTATGGAAACCATACTCAATATTCCACCTCTTGAAATCTTCATCAGGGCGGAAGCGAGGATGGGGGCATACAGACTGGAGTGTACCGGCAACTGGTATGCTCGGGGTGACTCCCTGGGACATACAAAAATAATCAGCCAAGTTTCAAGCCCACTAATGGATATGGGAAGGGACAAAATGCTGCCTAGAAATAACTATTACAGACCCTTCAACACTCAGCTCTACTGGGATGAAAGGGTCTTGACTAACTGTCAGGAAGGCACGTTAGTATGGTACACTGACGGTTCTAAGACTGATGAGGGCACGGGAGCCGGAATATATGGAGATAGACCCAGAACCAGGATGTGTGCTTCCTTGGGGAGGTATGCTTCAGTATTCCAGGCAGAGGTGCATGCTATTGAGGCATGCCTGAGAGAGAATATAGTAAGAGGATACAGAGGTAAACAAATCCTCATATGCTCAGATAGTCAGGCGGCCATTCAATCTCTAACATGCAATAAAATCAGATCAAAATTGGTCTGGGATTGCCTTCAAAGCCTGCTAATCCTGGCTAACCACAACAAGGTAACTCTTCAATGGGTGCCAGGGCATAAGGGAATTGAAGGCAATGAAGCAGCTGACGCTCTTGCCCGGCAGGGGTCTGCGACGTTGTTTATGGGGCCGGAACCTGTGTTCGGTATCCCCAAAACCTCAATACGCGGCTGGCTGGCAAGGTGGATGCAAGAAAGACATCAGGCATACTGGAACAATGTCCCAGGACAAAGACACAGTAAACTGATGGTTGGAACACTGTCCAAAACAGTGACTAACGACATTCTGAGCCTAAACAGAAGTCAGATCAAACAAGTGACGGGACTAATAACCGGTCACTGCCCCTTGAGGAAACATATGCATCAAATGGGCATCTATACAGACGAACCCATATGCAGACTATGCAATGAGGAGGAGGAAACTGCCACCCATGTAATACTGGAGTGCGAAGCACTAGCGCGTTGGAGATACAACCTTCTGGGAGCAGTAAACTCTCAAGAGGCATTTTCAAAGAATGATCTGGTGAAGAGGCTGCTAAACCTCATCAAGGTAGCGAACCTGTTCACCTGAGTCAACAGCATGATCAGGAATACAATAGGCCGAAAGGCTGCAGTGTTTTGGGCTTCAAACCCTGACTGATCATTCTGCCATTAATCAATCAATCAATCAATCAATATTAACGAACTCTAGCTTATGTCAGTGGGTATACTCGTTCTGACAGACTCGTGGTACTGCTCGGCAACACAATTTCGTTAACAAGGAAGGGACAGAATTATCTCGAAACTTCAGAACATCGTGATAGTGTTGTTGACTTTATAGTCTCAGTGAAACTTGATGTTCCTTGTCTCCAACAACGCTCACTACTTAAATTCAATGTTTCATTCCAAAGACGAATTTGGCCTAAATTCCAGTATCCAGAATTGTTTCCAATTGATAATCTACAGCTATCCTTTTGACTCTGATATACGATTATTCGACTGTTTCATCCTTTTGTCTCCACAAATCAAACCGAAATGTCGTTTGAAAAAAGGCAAGTTTGGGTGTAAATTGTGAAGACAATTTTATCTAGTGAATCTTCAAAATTTCCAGTTGGCTTATAGGGTGACAAATATATTCTAAAATCTCGTGAATATCTTCTCATTGTCTTTCAGCTTCAATTCCGTATGTCACTAAGAATTACCAGCCTTCTGCTGAAAATCTTCCAATCGTCACATAATTAGGAAATATTTTAACTTACCACATTCCCACATCAATAGCAGTAATATTTATTTCCTTGGATCATTCTCATGTTCTACAAGACATAATAGAGAATCAGAAGATCAGTACTTTCTTCAATAATCTTATCAGAAAATATCGAGGCAGGTACTAGGTCTACTTACCTCTTCGCCAAAATACTTAACTATGTTTGAAAATTAAATTACTAATATGTATTTATTTTTCTACCTCTAACCCTAAAACCTATCATTACTTACTCTTTTTCAAGTCGTGAACTGGTATTTCACTACCTACCAAGGATGTTTTCTCATTTTATTAACTGATGGTTTATAGAAATATATATAGCTACCTATAATTAATTGATTGCAATGCGATATGAACTCAATTACTCCAATATCAGTCAAAATGTGGGAGAAAGGGTAAGAAATATAATACAATAACTGGTAACCATTACCTGGGAGGCAAATAGTAGTAAACATCAGAGACAAAGTTCCGAACAGATTCCTAACCTAGTACGGCAAACAGCATAGATCGCAAACTGCAATGAAGTTGACTGCCAAAGGCTGTCAAAGTTAGTACGGAATATTGTCAAAACTGGTTGGCAAAGTTCGTTCCGAAAATTGCCAAATCCCAATTGACCAGTAGAAATTTGGATAAAAAAAATATATTGAATAACATAAATTTCAGACATTGAACTGAAGCTAAATGACTTTTTAAAACATATTTACTCAAAACAATTCAGATTTCTTCAGGTCTACGGAACTAGGATGATTGGAATTTATTGCTAGTGGTGGAAAGAATGTAATATACACCTTGGTTGTTTTTTTAAGGAGTGGAAAAATATTTATCAAGACGAATGGGTTGCCTGTTTCCCAAACAGTGTCAGATTCTTACTGACTAAAAAAACACTCCAGATCTTAAGTAGACCTCTCCGGAACCGCCCTCAGGCATTACTTCAAAGAGGCGCAATCTATTGGTGTCGGGTGCTCTTCCTTCTTTTTATCTTCCTTGATTGGCGAATTCTCTTCTCTTTGTGGAGATGATAATCTTCACACATTTGCTGACTACCTCCCAGTTTTCTTTGGTTTCTAGCATTTTTCCTACGATATTATCTGGCGTCAGTCGTCCTTTTGTAGCTTCGGCATTCATTTTGCATTCTTCCCAGCGGACGCATTCAAAGATTGTGTGCTCCACGGTATCTATCATTCCGCAGTACTGGCATTTCTCTGTCACTCAATTTGAATCTTGACAAATACGCTTGGAAGCATTCATGACCCGTAAGGACTTGTGTGAGGAAAAAGTTCACATCTCCACATTTTCTGTCCATCCATGGTTCTATGTCCCTTATGAGATTTCTCGTCCATATGCTTTTTCCTCCGTTAGACCTCCAGGATTGTTGCCAATTGTCTATGATCTGTCTTCTTGCTAGACTTCTAGGTTTTCCGTTATCTATCATCGTCCTTTCTTTTACCAGTAGGTCTATTGGAGGAGTTCTTGCGATCACCAGTAGAGCTTTGGTTGATACGGTTCTGTAGGCGCAAAACCTTGGTAGTAAAGAATATTATTACTACGGGATAATGATATACTCTATTACCATGGAGTATGAATAAATATTTTTGATTTATGAACCTAATGTGTGAAAATATTATGACAAGACATTTTACAACAAATGTGAAATTGCTGATCACTAATTATAAAAAAAGCCAAATCAATATCATGATTCTACCAAGGATACGACTACTTACTGTAATTGGTTACTAAAAGTAAGAAGTTTCGAAACTCCAGCAAGGGCGGTCCTAGGGTGAATCTCTAGGGGAGGTTATATTGTTGAATATTGGCCTACGAGATTACTATAGAAGTAATAAAATTTTGTGATTATTTCTTTGTCCGTTTGTCATGAAAGATGTGTGCTCTATTGAAGTATTATACAGATGTGTATATGCATACATGTATATGCATGTATGTTTTGTTAGTGTAAGTTTGTGTTTATATCATATTCTTAGTTTATATTATTTTATTTATACTCATGACAAAACCTTGTGTTCTTTGTAACACTTTTATGTCAAACTATATATGCAGCACAACTTTCAAAGAAAAATAATTTGCATTTACATGTTGAGAACGGGAGCAGAATCGGTCCCGAAACGTCCAAAGATAAGTACAAATTCGATATTTTTTCAATATATCTATCTATATTTCTTTCCTTCAAAAATTTTTTCAAACAAATTGTCACTGACAAGCTACTGGATTTTTCTTTTAGACTCCCTGATAGAAAAATTTGTTAAACGCAGTGACATTTTGGGGCAAATCATCTGATTTGTCCCTCTACAAATATATTGAAATAATACGAATACTTTTATTTTATAGAAACGAGGAGAGAAAATCCCAAAGAACCAAGTAAAATAAATAAATTATTCTATTCTATTCTATAGTAATTTTGTGATGTATTTCAAACTAGTTGCGACTACTTAATGTAAGTGGCTACTAAAAGTAAGAAGTTTCAAAACTCCAGCAAGGATGGTCCTAAGGAAATAGTAATTTTGTGATGTATTCCAAACTAGGTACCTCTTGAGATTGTTATATTATCAATCAATCAATCAACTTTATTATTCCCAAGAAACAACATTTGTTTATAGCAGGGAACATAGTGAATACATACAGTTTCCAATTTTTCATTGCATGCAATTGATTGCTGCAATTCATATTTTCACTGAATTGAAATGGCTTGCAATGTATTCTTTTCCAAAAAAAATCTGTGTTTTACTTCTTATCGAGTAATGAGTTGGGTAGAAGAAAACAAGAGAAGAGTAAAATTCAATTTGCATATAATGATAAATACTCTCTGCTGGTTAATCAATCAAGTAGATTATTCATTTCATCGTATTTTTTGGAGAGGAAATCCCAAAACATCTGGTAAAATAATTTGTGACTTATGATGCCAAAATAAAGCAACAAATACCGAAATTCCACCATTTTCTCAGAGCTGTCCAAATTGACACTAGTGCGTAGGCGTGCAATAACATTGCTATAATTTTTGCAGAAAATTACGGACTGTGGCGGCTCGAATAATTTTATTTTTTGTTAATTTTCTAATTGGTTTTATTTTCACTATTCTTTCTATGAATGAAATTCGAATAATTAATCTGCTGTAATGCTCGGGGGGGGGGGTACATACCCTCTCTACTGCCCTCCTCAATGGACCTCAAACACCAGTTAGTTTCAAAAAGTGTCAAAATCTTTTGTGACAATGAGAAAAACTTTTTTATAGATAATGGGAGAGAAGAAATACGAGTGTCCACTATGTCACAAATGCTTCACCACCGAAAAATACAGGGACGTCCACGTGAGCGGTCACAACGGCCAGAAAGAGTACTGCTGCAAGGTGTGCGAGAAGACTTTCCTTTCGAAGTCGCACCTCACGGAACACATGAAATTCCATAACGAACATTCCAAGAAGTTCTTGTGCTCGGAGTGCGGCCAGCGCTTCATCAGGTAATGATAATTGTCCAGAAAAAAGTTGTATGTACTTTGTAATATTTCAATGTAAAATTATGACAAACTGCCAGACGCTATAGTACACAAACGTAGTTTCAAATTCAAATCTCAACCGCTTTCTGCATCATTGTAATCATCAGGAAAGATTTTTGTCAAAAATTTGTAAAATAGATTGCAGATGAATTTGCCAGATACAGGGTGATTCACGAGCCACTGTACATACTTATGGTGTAGATAGGACATACCTCTGCCATGAAGAAATGAATATTTAATTTGGTTAATTCGACGTAATTGCCAAGATACAGGTTCCTGTTACTTTTTTAGTCATTGATTCATCTTGTATCATTCCAATCGTTTGATCAATTTTCCTAAAATTTCATACACTTAGTCTACTAGAAGTTAATTTTCTGAAATACCAATGTACCCGAATTCCAGGCCCAGACTTGGACAATTTTAATCTAAGATCTCTTAGAAAAAGGACACCCTTTACATTGGAATTTTCGATCTCTGCTTATTCCTGAAACTACATATGTATTAATGAACAAAAAAAGTTGATAACTTCTTCGGCACATTCAAAGTAGCTTTGAAAGATATTGCTTTCCGAGAAACATAGCATTTATTTTTTTCTGTGACGGGAAAAAAGTTTGACATTTCATATCTGTTGACAGGTTATTAAATGTCACTTTTCATAAGTTACTTTTCCTCGCTGTAAAAAAGTGATCAATTTTTAAAAATCTAATCACAGAATTAAACTTTCAGATACTCCAAGAATGTTTAAGATTCCTGCAACTCAAGTTCAATTCCAGTTGAAAAAATAGTGTATTATACACCGAAAAAATATTAGATTTATGTTCACGGTTTTTTGTCTCCTTCCACTACGCGTCGGGAAATAACACAACCTAGAGCTACAATCTACTACTTTTTCTCTTGTATAATAAATAACTATTATTCTACTTGACACTGAAAAATATATTAAATAACACGATAAATTCCCAAAAGGCATTTCACCCGCCTTCCTGCATTTTTATGCTCACTTGAATAAATTTCCAATCAATATTAGAATCATTTGAGGATTTTGTCTAATTTTCAATACAGTTTAACAACTCTTCTCTGTCAGAATTCATAAAAGTTAGTACGAGAATACAGGGCGCTTGGTGGAATAAATTTTGAAAATTTCTTGTATATTTTTTCTGAATCTTTTAAGAATTTGGTATTTTGAGATAGTCGACTTCAATTAGTAGACAAAGTGTATAAAATTTTAGGAAAATTGATCAAACAATTGGAAAGATACAAGGTGATTCCATTATGGCATAACAAGTAATTGACCAATTTAATTATTCATTTCTTCATGGAAGAGGTACGTCCTATATATACATAAGTATGTACAGTGGCTCGTGAATCACTCTGTCTAGTAAAATGATAATGGTGAAGTTTTCTTGGTTGAATTTTCATCAGATTAATTCCACACTGATTAGGATTATGCTTGACAATTGGAATGATTCAAATCATTTATTTTTTTCTACTAGAGAAATTAAGAAATATTTTGGTGTGAAATGATGACGTAAACGGTGGATCTAGTGTGAAGATGGGTATAATAACTTTGGCTGTGAGATACAAATCTCCGAACATGCCCGAACTGAAGACGTAGAAGAAAAAAATCAACGTTTCGCTTTTTTAGAAGGCTTACTCATGATTATCAAAAGTATATCCTGAAAAAATTATAAAAGGATGCAAATGAAATCAGATCTTATCACTTACCATCAGTGATATCGGAAAATATTACAATTCTTAGGAACCAATTATATTATAGAGAAAAATTCAACTTGATTCAAAGTAACTATGTCACTAACCAGTGCAAATACAACGAAATGAGCACATAAGAAATTTGATAACCATAAACAACAATAAACAATAGGAACATAACCTCAATAAACTCGTAGCTTTCAGCATGGTTTGGTGTAAAACTGGTTTTGGGCGTGGTTGCCAGGTATAATTTACTTACTTCTTGAAAACAATGAAAATTCATGCAGGATCTTTCAAAATTAGAATTTTGTTTTGATTTTATTGAAGTGATGAAGGCATTCTAGATATTATTGAAATATATATCTGTTTCCTCTTGAATAGTAACTCCATCAGGAATCCATAAATAATTTGGTTTCTACTTTTTGACTAATTAGGAAATCAAACTACTGATGTCATTCCATATAAAGTAGCCAATATCAAAATTGAAACTTAATGCAGTCAATACATCTATATTGAATTTCTAAATTCTTGGAACTTCTTTTCTGAAATGAATACTGACAAAATAAAAAATACTTATGTAATAATTTTTCTTAAACTTCACGGATAAATCAAATTAACAATATAGGATACTTCCCCATTGTGTAAATATATTATCTTGCCATAGTGTACAGAGTCGGTTGAATTGTTCCCTTCTTCGTTACCCTTAAAAAATGTCAAACAACACTATGCCAATACGTGGAGAATACGCTAACTAATCAATATATTGGAATCTCTCAAGATACATTTTTATGGGGACAGTCTCGCTAAGTCACTTGTTTGACTCATGGTGACTTATGGTACGTGTATCTAACGATTTCAGTCACCCTTTATTCACAGTTATACTCTGCTATTTACGTTTCTTGACTTGTCATGGCACTAAGGTGTGATTATTAATATGTATGATCTGTTTATCATCAGGAACGATTATCTCGTCATTCATATGAGGAGGCATCGCGGCGAGAAGCCGTTCAAATGCAAATTCTGCGGAAAAGGATTCCCGAGAACCACCGATTTGACGGTACACGAGCGGTACCACACGGGAGAGAAAACTCATCTCTGTACGATTTGTGGCAGAGGATTCGGAAGGTAAGTTCTCAGTATTATTTTCTGGAGTATTTTATATCCAAAGAATTTTCAAATAATATTTTCAGATGTTTTTCTGGTGTATAACCGTTAATATACTTGATTTCAAGAAAATTCATTATCGAAAAAATTGTTGAGCTCGATTGTGTTCTTAGTATATTTTGGTGATAGAAAATTGTGATTGTACCTTTTTTTGATGTTTCTTATGGTATTTTTCAACTGGATTAATCACTAAGCCTCAGGAAATATAAGGACCTCAGGAAATATAAGGAAACAAACTATTCAATTTATGTTGGTGAAAATCATTTTAATGTAATATTTTTTATTTACCAAGAAATGGACATTTACCTTAAGTTTTTATATTCATTCACATACTGCTGTTCCTGCAAATTTTCAAATAACTAGGCATTGACTATTAGGGCTATGTAGAAAAATTTGGGTAATCTTGACATTGACATAGACCCCTAGCCCTACTAGTGCAAGCCAGTGAAATTGAAAATATTAGCTCTCATTGCGTTAGACGCCAGGGGATAGAGGTTTCCAAAAAATATTACCGGACTACGGTAGAGACGGTAAAGAAATTTTTGCCGACCTCGACGGGTAAGAAGCGTTACTGCTTAGGCACTGACACTGCAAAGCCTAGACTGTTTTGTCAAACGATCACACTATTGGTTAATAATGATTTATATGTTGATTCGATTGATTCATGATCTACATCGAGTACTTTGCGTTGTGCCCACATTTCTTTAATCCTACATCGCATTATACTCACATTTCGGCCGGCCCACATTTCGATAAAGCCACAGTCTTCAAACTCACCCGAAGGATGCATTGTTGCCAAATGTAGGTTCAACACCATGGGTCGATATTCTCATCATAACCTCATCTGGTTCAAGAGTCGAACTATACCATTTACCTCTAAAGCTCTCTGAATTCCAAAGACGTAATATGAGGAAGGAAAATATCCATTCTGCATAAGAAAAAAGACTGCTTTATCTAAACAATCTAACCTGACTTGGCTTGTAAACAAGCTAACCTGACTCGGCCTAAATGAAACTTCTTCCTAAGAAGCAGGTCTAAAAGTTAGAACTATAAATAAATGGAGTTAAAAGACGAACAACATATATATGACGTTCTTAATACAGATTAAAAAAATTGATCAAAATTGAATTCTCAATATCAATACTCAAGCAAGTAATTCCTCATGATCACCTTAAAAATATTCTTCCAGTGAGTATAAGCGATATTTATTCTTAAATTTGATGAAACACAGATTTTTAATTCTATGAGGCAATATATTATCATTGTTGTAGCCCAAAGGGTTTATCTGAGATACAGTCTAAACCGAGGATTATATATATTCATCGCATGTCTGGTGTCATGGTCATGAATATCACTATGAGGTCTGAGTATATTGGATTATTTGTGAACGTCTTGAAGTGTGTTATTGATAACGAAAGTTGGTAATGGCATGATGCCATATGCAATGAATAGGTTTACAATGTTCTCTATGAGATGCATTGCCCATTACACTTATTGCATTTTTTTGCTTGCCGAATATGATAGGAGAATGAGAAGAGTTTCCCCATAATAAAAAAATAAACAGATTTTAAAGTTATAGAATTTATAATACTCCTGAGCTGCCTGAGGAGAAATAATGTACTTGAAATTTTTTCTGTAAATGCTCAATATGATGGTGCCAATTCAGTTTCTCATCAAGCTTGATTCCTAGTAAATTTACGCTGTTACCTTTATGGCAAGAGATATGCGTCATCATTACAATTTCTTGAGTTTTAATTTTAATTTATTATATTCTAACCACTCCTTACCTCTTTGTTTGATAATCTCTGTTTTGGTGATGAGATCTTGATAATTACTTCCAGAACAAATAAGTGTAGTATCGTCAGCAAACAAGACAACTATGCATCCTTCAGGTATGTTTGGAGAATGTGGATATCAAAATGTGTGTTTAATGAAATATGAGCTTATCGAAACGCGATGTGGGAGTTATGAAATGTGGATTCAATGACAATCTTCCCACTACATCTTGTACCATCATAATGTCTGATGAACTCTTTTTGCTGATCTGATGTAATGTTTGTTTCCAGGGCCTACAATCTAACGGTCCATATGAGAACTCACACAGGAGAGAAACCGTACCAGTGCACCTACTGTGACGCCGCTTTCGCACAGGGCAACGATCTGAAGGCCCACGTCAGGCGGCACACCGGCGAGAGGTTCCAATGCGAACTGTGCACGGAGAGCTTCCTCATGGGTTATCTGTTGACGCAGCATAAGAGAACAGTCCACGGTGAGTGGTATCACAGAAAGGATTGATGATAATAATAATAATAATATTTATTATAAACATTACATTGCATCTTATATCAATATAAGTATATTTATTAAGGTTCATAATGTAAGAACATGAATAATCAGACAGATTCATATCTTGTATGGAATTATTCATGCGTTATTAAATCTTAGTTATTGAAATGAACAACAGATACAAAGATAATAATAATGTAAGAACTTCACAAACGATACGATTTCTACAAAAATCTTGATCACATGACATGTTTCGCTAACACAGTAGCTTCATCAGGTGAAATACTTTCCCAACCTGAAGGAGATGGTAGGCAAGGCTATTTAACTCTATAAGGTTGCCTCATATTCACCTGGCCTGACGTCACTGTTTCCCCAGTCGTCTTTTGTCGAACGGCAAAATGAAAATGGCGGAGAAGATAAACAAAACAAACAAATTTAGCATTGTGCAATCCAGTGAATTTTGATAAATTTTGAAATTTTCAAATGTTTTTGTATCCACGAGATAGTTCACTGTTTTCCCAAAACATGCAGCAAGTACAAAAGACTGAAAACAGAAATCTAGAAAGGTATGTTATGTTCCTCAGTGCTCCTGTTGTACAGACACATTACAGAAACTCACAGAAACTCAGTCAAATTCTCATTGCAATATCACTCCATTAGGACTGATTACTGTTGGTATTTAAGGATATGTAGATTGAGCTACTGATTAAGCATTTTTTAATAAAGAAAATGTTATTGGGAAGTCTGAACCTAATGATGGAATCATGGTGGATAAGGGCATGCTGACAAGGGATGTGAAGAAATATCTTGAAATTGATAAGGCCATCAATTCTGAGAAACAAGAAACAATTAAGAACATATTATTGTTTGAAAATGAATCAATAAAGAAGTCATCACAATTCATTCCATTTTATTAATGCAATAAAAGTGCAACATAATGGAAATATCTTTAAGATATCTTCCTCATAAGATTAACACATAATGTTTCATAACATTAACTGGAATCTCTATGTAAGTTTTGGAGGAAGAAGAATTATACAAGAAAATTAGTTTCTTTCAAGTTCATTAGGGACATTTTAGGGCCATTATTCCCAACTGAATTTATCCATAATAAGTGTGTCTCTCTTCCAACTTCACATTTTTTTTACCATCTCCTGTCAAAAAATGGCATTGTTCCACAAAATGTTCTGAACCTTTACCTGAAATTTTGAGAAAATGATTCAAGCTGAATGTAATACACATTATTTAACAAACCTCTATGTAAGGACCTCAGTAAGGACACATTTTTCAATTATTTCCATGGTCTTCCATCCTGAAAAATAATTTCATATGGAGAAAATCCTAACCATGGAAAATATTGGGACACAAATTTGTTTGCATGATTTGAAATTCAATATCATTTTCAATGAACATTTTGAAAGAGCTTTTGATTCATATTGAACTCCATGCTAAACAAATTTATTTGAAAAATCCTTTGGAAAGAAGAAGTTGATTGCCCTTTGTCCCAAGACTCCTTGCTACATGTAAAAATGAAGTAGCAAGTATAGCCCAAAATTAATGTAAGTATACAGTTTTCATGATATGGTATGTTAAAATTTAATAAACTCACCAGTGTTCCTGAGTACCATGCATCCATGCATGCAATAGCTATAGTTGTTCACATTGAGTTCATTGGCTTCCAAACAAAAAACAAAATAGACTGATATACCCTGTAAAATTAACTTGAATTATATAAAAGGAGAATGATTTTAGGGGGTCACTTTCCTTCTTTTAATAAGCAGAACTATTGAAATGGTTTTGCTGTATAATAGATCATTGATTGATCTACTCTCTTTTTTTATTTTCACCACTTCTGTGTGTTATATATGCAGCTTCACATATTCCAAGTCTTCATTCCTGAAATTTCATGTATTTTTTACCTGTGTGTGTGATAGATCAAAAGTGCATCTTCCTACCTGTCAATATAAGTCCATATAAAATGTGTTTACAAAACCATGACATGCCTGCTTCACAGGGACATTCACATTGCCACAGCTTGGAATTATCTGAATCTCATGTGGAGGCTGCCCAAGAGCAGATGATTGTAAACACAGGCATTTTATAACATTTATTTTGTTTGTTCTATATCCACTCTTGACTCCACACATGATAATATTATGATGTGACCAGCCTTGAATAATACTACACCATATTATTATACAACCTCTCACCCTCTTTCAAAGATATCTTCAGTCTTCTTGTCACCATGTTTTCAACTAAAGTCTAAAATTCGCGATTCTTTCGAATTCAAATTCAAAAATTTGTTCAATCCATTTGACAGTGACACAAAACGAAATCTACAATCACGTGGCGGGGAAACAGTGACGTCACGCCCCTCCGCGCACCCCCGCACCATAATGCTATACTATGAGGTAACCTTATAGAAGTTAATAGACCTTGGATGGTAGGTAGGTAGGATAAATAAAAGTTAGGTAAGCCAAGGTTAGTTTATTTCATTGTACCAGTATTTCACCTGATGAAGCTAGGGTTCCTAAATGTACTTGACACTGCTGTTTCGACGTTTTTTGTATATTAGAGTACGGACACTAGACAAGCAGTGACAATCAAACATAACCACAAACGATTTTGAAGCAAATCATATGTTTTGCCAGACAAGGACAAGAATATGTTTTTCGCTTATAAACATATATACCAACGAAATACATATACTATTCCTATGGAATAAGTCTCTTATATGTAGGTATATACAGGGTGTCCGCTAAAAGGAGATCAATCCATTAACCATATATTCCTTGAACAAAAACAATATGAGTTTTTAAATACCATTTCTCATTTTAGCCCTTCATGTTCGATATACAGGGTGTCAAAGTTGGAAATTAAAAACTGTTTTTTGTTAATTACTCGCGTATTCAATAAGATATTATTCTGAGAATTGATACATTACTTCAGCACAAAGAGTTACATCGTGTGGGGAAAACAAAACAAAAAATAACTGTCAAATATTCAAAATACTGGAGGTCAAGTACACACTTACCCCCATATTTTTTTAGCACGTGCGCTAATGACTTCCTATCTATTTTTCATCTATGAATTTCTCTGAAGATAATTGCTGATTTTGTTTCAAATCTGAAATAATTTTCAGGTAATAGTTCTGAAACTCTGACTTTTTTGTAATTATAATCCGTGTATTCATTCAACTTATCTGGCAATGTTGGCACCTTATTCTCATTATAAAATATATATACAATTCGACGAATCTACTTCTTTTGAAGCATCATCAGGCTTCTTGAGTTTTTGTCCTACTCTTTTTCGTTTAACTTCATGATCTACAACATCTCCGGTTCTAATAACTCTGTATATGGTGGTATAGCTTATTTTAGTTTATTCCTGTATTCTCTTCACAAGTTGGTTTTCAGAAGAATCATTATTCTCGTCCTTGAGACGCGAATAGATATTCAAAATTACCCTTTGCGTTTGAACGTGTAAGTCTTCATTCGCGAACTTCGCTTGTTCTTCCTCAGAATCACTATCACTCACTTCGTTGACTTCCTCAAAAGGCCTCCAGAACACAAAACCACTATGATTGAAATAATAAATTTTCTGAGTTTCAAGTTGAACCAATGAAGACAACCTAGCTCGTACCGCACTGCCTAGCGCAAGCTAGAAGATTCTTATCACACAGAAGGCCGCCCATGCAACTCTGACCAATCAACATTCTAGATAGTTTGGCGTGACCAATGAGACGCGGTTTCTAGCATGACCACGCTTGTCCAGTCCACGTTGACTACAAAGGCTGCATACCGGGAAGCATGTTCGTATGTAGCAGACGTGTTAGTCCTGATGTGGACTAACTCGTCTGCTACATACGATACGATGGCGATGGGGCATAGGCACAACCACATCAGTCATAGGTGGCGAATCTAATGCGGAACGAAAATCGAAACACATTCAAACTGCTTAGAACGATTTAATTAAATGAAGAAAACAATATTACTTCCTGAATTTATTTTCCCCCAGACCTATATTATGGTCCACACATGCTTGCAAAGAATGTGGCGCTTTTTTTTTAGCAGCTTTCCTAATCGATCTACCCGACGATTCTTTTTTTCCACACATTTTTCTTCTAGCAACAGAAGTTGGTTGGATAGGAATTTGTTTTCCTTTCCTTGAAATCAGGCGTCTATTTTTTTGTTTTTTTGCTAGATTACCATTATATTTGAAAGCCGTATGTAGTCCGCTTATCAAGGAATTGGTTGTCTTTGCATATCTTCCCACATTTTCCAGAAATGTGTTTATGGTAGGGTAAAATTGTACTGGATCGTCCACCAGAATATTATATATTTTGATTTATTGATTGATTCGAACTGTTTCATTTTATATAGTGTTCATGAATTATTTCAACACTATGCAAATCGAAATGTACAGGGTGGGCCATTTTTGATGTTTGCATAGAGTAACTCGGTAACTATAGGAGATACAAGGGCATATTTTCGAAAAGTCTAACTTGTTTATAACTCGAAAACAAAAGATAGTTAACACCGAGTTACCCCATATAAACATCGAAATTGGCCCACCCTGTACAACAAAACTTTCACGATCATAACTAATAACGAATCTTCAACTGCCAAAAATGCTGGACATGTGAATCCTCAGCCATCAGAAATGTTTTTTTTTATTCAAGCAGGCACTGCCTATAATAATGATAATGTATACATTCAAACGACTTACTTCAACTTCCTCTTGGGTTTTAAGTTGCAGTTTGTATGTAGTAGAATTGACTTCTTTGAAAACACAATGTGTCGGAAATGCACTATGATGGAATGCCATCGTTTCAATAATATAATAAGTATAAAAAATTATTATAGGTGTTACCCTACTTCATCGAGACGAAATCGTTAACTAGAACTGACAAGAAAATGAATTATTTGCTTGTAGAGGTGGAAGGGAGGCAAAATTTAAGTTGTTATGTAGTACATCAGGGCTAACACGTCTGCTACATACGCACTATCGTTCGGATGCTTCGGATGAATTCGGAATCCGCCTGGATGGTTAACACGTCTGTTACATACGAATATGCTACCAGGAAAGCTAGAAAATATCTATTCATTCCTATTCCAATGTTGAGCAAATCGACAGATCCTCGTATCGTCCTTAAAAACGGAAGTTTTTCAACTGACTTCGCATAAACTATACAACCTGACGGTTCTTCTAATAGTGAGTAATTCCTGTTTTTTTTTTTTTTCAGGTTTGAACGTAGTGAGCAACATACGACGTCTGCAGCCCGTCCACAAGACGGAGAACCCCGACGACCCGCCGCCCATCACGATCCCGCTACCCAAACCTGTCATCCCCGAGAACGTCATGTTCAACGCGCTGCACGCGAACGCCGCTATGCACGCGAACGCGTTCCACGCGCAACTGGCGGTCGCCCAGCTGCACTTGGCCCGGGAATGAATGATGTGTTGAGCGGTGAGTACGGTCACAGCCGGCTCTATAACGAGACGCGGTAAGAGAAATGCAACACCGCATCGCCATGATCCAGAAAATCTGCTTTTGACTGGCTACCACGGCGACATAGACAATCACTAGTAGAGTTCGGCAATTCCATCCGAGATGCGAGGGATTTATTTGTCATGTGACCACGGATTAGACAGATTAATTGGAATAAACGAACGGTGCAGAGCGCTGTCATGACAAATCTGTCTCAAGTAAACTGCTCCACATTTGAAGTGAGACAAGCGAACATTTTGTTTGTTTTCGAACCGTGATAACTTTGGATGAGATCAACCGATCTTTGATTAGTTTTGAGATTGTGATTGCCCAGTTGATTGGCTATAACATATTTTTTTTACGTTTCTCCACCATTTCAGAATTATGACCTACAGGATGATATCTGAAAGTGTGATAATTTCCGAAAAGTTTGAGGTCGCCCCGTTAACAGGATAATTTTTTTTAAATTTTTCTGACGGCAAAAACATGAACCCTAATGTGCTTCCTCAAAATGGTTTCGGATTCATCAAGATCCATACAGGATGTTTTGAGATATGCAATATCATGGATCAGCAAAAGTGATTTCGTGATTGAACGAAAAACCTTCAGGGTTAGTTCGCAGGGAGGAATAAAGTGAATGTGGAGTGTGGTTATTTTATGAATAAAATTGTCAAAGCTAGGATGTTTTTTTTTTCAGTGGATATAGAGAATGAGAATTGATGAACATATACCAAGAAGAGAATACAGATAATACGTAACACAATATTTTTTTAATAAAGAAAAATTAACAACGGCAGATGTGGTCGATTATCAATATTTTGTTACACCACCCCTGGCCGCTGCGAGAGCCCTAACTCTTCTCGGCATACTTGTTATCAAGCCATCAATGAAATCTTGGGAAATAGCTGTCCATTCTTCCACTGTCGCATCTTCCAGTTGTTGAATATTCATCATTTCACCTTCTCTTCTCTTCTCTTCAAACATAATTTTAACCTAGCCCATACATGTTCTATTGGGTTCATGTCTGGAGATACGGGTGGCCATTCCATTCTTTCAATATTATGTTGTCTCAGAACTTCGGTTTTAACAACATCTCTTATACACATGGATGGATTTTGGATTTTGGAAGACAGAGGGTGAGCCCGCTGGGGGCCCTCAATTCACTTAGACCTCTAGGGTGGGTCCATTGTGGTACCTCTGTTGTTTCGTCCCTCATTTCTTCCGAACCGGCCTCAGCTGAGTAGACGTTCACCTACCATTCGTATGAGTCCTCCTTGTGCTCTCCCCATCTGCTCTCCCGGCGAGCCTGGATGAGCCCGCCAGAGCCTTCGCTGGTCCAGAGCCCGACTGCTACCCGCTCCTATCGTGAGCTCTCATGCAGGCCCTGCTCCAGAGCCCATAGGTCCAGCGCCGGAGAACGCGCTGGCCCGCATCCGAGCCCACACGATCCCCCCGCCGGAGCCCAATTGGGCCCCTTTGAGCCGCACAGGCCCATTCGAGCCCACGCGGCTCATCGACTGAGCCCGCACATGTCTCAACGTTGGAGCGCTCACTAGTCCGGCACCCGAGCCCGCATTTCCCAGCTCTGGGGTCCCTTGGCTTCACGGTACGAGCCCCAAGGAGAGACAAGGAAGCCTCACCTCATGTGTTTTTGTTCATTCCCTGAAGAGATCTATTCCCTCGCAGAAGGTCAGCACTCTATTGATGGGAATGTTTCTTATCTGTTCAGGCTCCAGGTATGCTGAGCCTAAGCATTTTCTTCTTCGACGAGCCACTGCGGGACATGCGCAAAGGATGTGGGATGAAGTTTCATCGTCTTCTTCGCATAGTCGACACATTGGGTCCTCTACCACCCCCATGAGGGCCATGTGTCTCATGAGTCTACAGTGGCCAGTTAGAATTCCAACCATCATAGAGCATTTCCTCCTGTTCAATTGTAAGAGGCTGTGTGATTGACGTTTGCATGACCCCGCAATATGGAGCCGTGCTTGCCTCATTCCCCCTGCTTCTGCCCAGGATGTCTGGAATTGCCGCCATAGCAGGTCATCCAGGGCTTTTCGGCCGACACATTGGGGGACACCTACTATGGGTTCGGGCCCGATGGGAGGAGTTGAGGCGCCCCGCCTTGCTAAGGCGTCAGCGCCTTCGTTTCCTTCAATGCCTTCATGTCCCGGCACCCACAGTAGGTGGACTTTGTTGGTTCTCGCTATTGAGTTAAGAGCCAACTTGCAATCGAGTGTTAATCTTGAGATTAATCTCGGAGATCCCAGAGCTTTCAGAGCCGCTTGGCTGTCCGAACATATCGAGATGAGCCTGTTATTGTAGTCCCTTCTCTGAATTTCTTGTGCACAGACCAGGATGGCCTGTATTTCTGCTTGGAATACAGAGGCATGCTCCCCCAGACCGATACTCAGGTCGGCCCTGGGACGCAGTCCATATATTCCCGCACCTGCTTTACCATCCATTTTGGACCCATCTGTGAACCAGACGTGCCCCTCGCGGTGAAGCAGACTCGGTCCCGGTCCTGTCCATTCTTCCCGAGATGGGAATTGAACAGAGAAGTGTTGGGTAAATTCGTAACAGGGTATCATGCTGTCCTGGACCATTGAGAGGACTGGACAGCTTTGAATAGCCTCGTTCCATATTAACGAATGTCCTGTGAGCCGCCCATGGTCCTGCCACTGTTTTGTACAGTTGAGTCGATAGGCGGCCCTCCTGGCTTCATTCTGAAGATGCAGGTGGAGTGGTGGTAGTCCCAACAGTACCTCAAGGGCCTCAGTTGGGGCCGTCCTCATTGCCCCTGAAATACAAGTACATGCTAGGCGTTGTGTTTTGGCCAGCTGGGATCTGGCTGTTTTCAGCCTGGTCCTCGGCCACCACACGACTGCCGCGTATGATATCATCGGCCTTATCATCGCCGTATATATCCAATATAGGACTCTGGGCTGGAGTCCCCATTTTGCTCCGAAGGTTTTCCTGCATACCCAAAAGGCTGCTGTCGCCTTCCTGAGTTTGGAGTCCAGATGTTCTTTCCAGGTTAGCTTAGAATCTATGGTCACCCCTAGATATTTGACTGAGCTAGAAAGTTGTATAGGTTTCCCAAAGAGTATCAGCTCTCTTGGTTGCCCAAGGTTTCTTTTCCTAGTGAAGCGGACCAAAGCAGTCTTCTCAGGATTCACACTGAGCCTCTGCTCCTGGCACCATTCCTCAACCAGTCCAAGGGCCCTTTGTGCCACGTCAAACACAGTCCCTGGGAAAGGCCCTTCAATAAACAGGACCACGTCGTCTGCGTAGGCCTGTGCGTATACCCCCTGCTGCGTTAGCAGGGTAAGTAGGCTGTCTACCACCAGGCACCAAAGCAGAGGAGAGAGCACCCCTCCCTGCGGGCACCCCCTGGTAGCGACCACTCTAACAGCACAACCATTTCGGTTTGCCGTGATTGTTCTCTGAGTGAGCATAGCTCGGATCCATCGGCTGATGGTCTCCTCAATGCCATGTCTCTCCGCAGCGTTGCACATTGAGTTGAAATTCGCGTTATCGAAAGCCCCCTCGATGTCCATAAAAATACCTAGGCCAGTTTGTTTGCGATTTAGCACCTGCTCCACTCTACCAACGAGGTGATGAAGGGCCGTCTCGGTAGACTTCCCAGCCTGGTATGCGTATTGTCGTCGATGTAAGGGTAGATTTTTCATACTACCATCGCGGATGTGCCGGTCTATTAGCCTTTCCAGTGTCTTCAGAAGGAAGGAGGTTAAGCTGATAGGTCGGAAGGATTTTGCTAGGGTGTAATCAGTTCGCCCTGGCTTTGGGATGAACACTACTCTCGCGGCCCTCCAGAGTATTGGTACGTACCCGAGAGCCAGGCATGTTCTAAATATTTTCAGCAAAGGTAAAGCTACGTGTTCAAGGCCCTTTTGTAGTAGGGCCGGAAACACGCCGTCTTCTCCAGCTGATTTATAGGGTGCAAAGCTGTTAATCGCCCAGCACACCTTGTCATAGGTAACCACCTCTTTAGCCAGTCTGAAATCCTCTTTTCGGGGTCTCCGTACTGGTTCTGAGCTGGCTGGATTCATCCTGCTTCCAGGAAAATGGACCGACAGTAGATGGCGCAGAGCATCTTCGTCCGAGGACGTTAGCTCTCCACTCATGAGCCTCATTGGCCCTAGTCCTATAGTCGGTTCTTTTGAGAGAGCGTGGTGTAGCCTTGCAGCTGTTGGCATGTTTTCAATGCTTTCGCAAAAGGCCCTCCAGCTTTCTCTCTTTTCTCTCTTAATCAGGGCCTTGTACTCCCTTTGAGCCTCCTTGAAGGCTGCCCAGTGTTGGGTTTGTTTTGTACTTTTGGCCCTATTAAAGAGTCGTCTCACATCCCTTCGCTTTTTGCTTACGTGGGGGTTCCACCAGGGAGTGGTTTGATCGATCTTGTCTTCTCGTCTTCAGAGGACAGCTTGTCTCATAAGAGGATGTGAGGGCACGCGTGATGTGGTCAACAGAGCCCTCGACTTCTTCCTCTTTGTTGTGGCATTCTGGAAATCCCATCACACCCGCTCTGAGCTCCTCTTTAAAGAGTTCCCAGTTGGTTGCTTTGGGGTTCCTGTAAGTTTTGTTCTGGTGGACCGTTGGTCCTAGCTCCATTATTATGTGTCTGTGATCTGAGAGAGATATTTCTTCTGATACAGTCCACTTTGTAATCTTGTTCACTAGTGCCCGAGAGCATAGCGTGATGTCGATCACCTCTTGCCTCCTTGCCGTGAAGTAGGTCGGCACAGAGCCCCGATTTAGGATCTCTAGATCGGTTCCCGAAATATACTGGAGCAACGCTGAGCCCCTCGGATTGACCCCAGTACTCCCCCACACATTATGGTGTGAGTTGGAGTCGCACCCAATGAGCAACGGCAGTTGCTCCCTTTCACAGTACCTCACTAATTCCACTAGCTCAGCAGTTGGTGGCAGTTCAGGAGCGTCGTAGGGGAGGTAGGCGGAGCACACCGCTATCTCCATCTCAGATTCTCCAATAACTGTTTTTATCTTCACCGCCACTAGGTCTCTGTAACAGAAGCCCTGTAACAGCGAAGCGTTTACATTTTTTGTCAAGATGCAGGTTCTGGGAGCCTCTACTGTGTTGCACCAGAATAGTGTTCCACCCCAGGACCCCATGCCCCTTATCCTGCTCTTATATACCCAAGGTTCTTGGATAAGTGCTATATTTGTCCCCAGTTCAGCTAGCCTCCGTGAGAGAACTCCTGTGGCCGCTGAACCGTGCTGTATACACATGTCACGATATCGAACAGCATTCATACTTTCCCTCAAAATAACCAACGTGGTGCGATGATTCATCATGATACCGCCCCATATCGTAACACCCCCACCCCCAAATGCCACCCGCGCCTCCGAAACCTCTCACTCCGTTCTCGCCATACTAAAATCCTTCCATCTGATCTGAACATATTACACCTACTCTCATCAACGAATAAACATCTCCTCCAATCAGCTATTCCCCAGTTCAAATGGTTCTGAGCCCAAAGTCTTCGAGCTATCCTGTGGTTCAGCCTTAACAAAGTACAAGATGCCCTCCTTCTCGCTCTCAGATTGCGCTCATGAAGCCTTCTTCTGATTGTCTCATCTGAGACAACAACTCCTGTTGCATTTCTTAGTGCACAGTTCAGTTGTCCAGCAGTCTGTGTTCGAAGACGACGTACCGAAGTAACTAAGAAATTATCATTTCTATCTGAAGTCTTCCGTTGTCGTCCACCTCCGTGACGATAATTAGGATCTCCTGTTCGATCGTGACGACGGATTGCCCTGTATATTGAAGCTCTTGATGTATCGAAATACTGTCCAATGTCTTCAACATTCAAACCACCATCTCTCATTCTGAGAACCATTTGTAATTGTTCATTAGTTAGTCGTGGCATATTTTATTACAATAATCAAATATTTGACAATTTCTGATTATTTCCCAGACAACATATTATACCGAGGGGTTAACCAATGAATTTAAGGTATTCAAAAAATTCGAATAGCCATATGTTGTTCAAAATTGCATATCTCAAAACATCCTGTATGGATCTTGATGAATCCGAAACCATTTTGAGGAAACACATTAGGCTTCATGTTTTTGCCGTCAGAAAAATTTAAAAAAAATTATCCTGCTAACGGGGCGACCTCAAACTTTTCGGAAAGTATCACACTTTCAGATATCATCCTGTAGGTCATAATTCCGAAATGGTGGAGAAACGTAAAAAAAATATGTTATAGCCAATCAACTGGGCAATCACAATCTCAAAACTAATCAAAGATCGGTTGATCTCATCCAAAGTTATCACGGTTCGAAAACAAACAAAATGTTCGCTTGTCTCACTTCAAATGTGGAGCAGTTTATTTTAATTTTTTTCAAGACATATATTACTCAACGGATTTATGTGGTTATATTTGTTGTTTAACATTAATTTTCTCAAGAAATTCACAAAAAGTGAATAATATCACAACGCAACGCACTTTAAATTTGAACAATTCAACACTTAACCTCACAAATTCAGATTAATCGCTTTGCTCGGTCAAAATCGTCGTCGGATCGCTCCGATTTTAATTGCCGAACGGATGAGATTTACTTCCCCTACATCTAGATGTCATAACCGAACGACGCAGATTGATCGGAGCAGTTTGATGTCAATACCGAACTCGACTACTGGTACAATAACGCGCTAACGTATCATCAATTTCTGTCTTTGAAATAAATGATTGAACTTGAATGAAAAAAATTTCAAAAAGTAATGGGTCAGGTCACAGTTCAGGTTTTATTCAGTTTCTTGGATAAAATAAACAACTGGCAAGTCGCATTTTACATCAACCATTCAAGTTATTGCTTGCAGAAATATTCAATTCCGAAGATAGTTAGATAAATGAAAAAATGTCTAATGAGTCCATACACAGCATGGGAAGGACTATTATTGTAGAAGAAGAATATCTATTTTTTTGTGTTTGTGTCTACTTGTTTCAATTGATCAATCATAATTTCAAGATTTTTCGAATGAGGAAAGCTATTTTCACAAGATACTATAAGGGCTAGTTTCAGATATATCAAACTTTTCTCTATTAAGTCATCAAATGAGCTAATTTTATGATCTTTGGTCTGATTATTCTTTGTGTGACTGAGCTGAGCTGCATTTTGCTAGAATATTCTGACTTTGTGACCACCTACTCAATTTCATATAGGGACGAATCCATTTTGATGGACACCCTATATATTATTGCATTTTTTTGTTTCTCCCTGCAGAGCTGATTTCATCAATATATCACACTTGGGGTCGCAAAAATACGATTTAGATGTGCCTGTTTTTTTCAAACCCTTCATAGGAATCATATGAAAATATACGTATGGGGGTTTGAAACCATGAAGAACAATATTATTAGGTTAGTTTTCCTTGTGAAACTCCTGATATGATTTCATGAAAAATTTACCCCATTTTCATTTCAATAAAAACGCACGGCACTGTCTAGCATAGCATATTAGTTTTGTTCAACAAAGGGCTTGGAACGCCACATATGGTGAGAATTATTAGAGCAATATAAGAATGGTAATGTTGTTTATACTCCTTGAAAGGCAAAGGATCTAGCATCTCTAACCAGTTCCCTTGTACAACTCTTATATTAATCGTGAAACTTTCACGAATTATTAATGATCTCCGATGAAGATAAAGTGTTCCCTTTAGGAGGTTAACCTTTTTTCTGTCCTGTAAGCAAATATTCCAGCCCATTCCAAATGCACAGATTCTGGCAATCCTTATTCATCTAAATTCGCTATTACTACTACACACTTGAAATAAAACTCAATCCTCAATAACTAGAGTTTTATCAAAATGTATAGGACGATATTCTCCTGCTATTTTTGAGGATATACACATGCAAAATTGTGATGGAAATTATCCGTCTAGTAGGGCTCACTGAGGAGCTACAGAGCGTTGAAATGCCTGAGGACGATATACACGTCTGGCAGGAATAATTTTCCTATAGATAAACGATTCATGGACGTCGTTGCCCCACCTACTCGAGTCTGGCACGTGTGGCAAACGATAATTCCTTCGGTCTGGCGTGGTCTGGCCGCAAAATGGACTTGCTCGAAGGAGGTGTTAAAGCGATACGTGATACGTCTCATGGTTTCTCCACAGGAACATTATTCTTTTCAGACCTGTAGATTTTTTAATGTTATGTCAGTTGGTATTATCTGAAAAATGCTTCCAATCTGACACCACTCTTCGCCGTCTTGTATCTTTCGATCTATTTTATGTTACCAATTTTCCGAGAAAACGAAACGTCACCTTTTTAATCGTCGATCAACTTTTTAACACAAATTATGCTGTATTTCTTTCAAAGATTATATAATACAAGCTTCTATCCACGGCTTCGCTCGCTTTGAAGCACTTAAATCAACATCAAAGATCATTACATGCATTCCAATAGAACTGATTGAATGGGATTCAGTATTTAAAAATTACTACATACAATGAAGTTTCTGAAACTGAAAACATACTCTTCCCCAATAATTTACAACAAATGTTGAAATATGAATAAAATAAGTTATTTGTTGCGCCCTGTCTGTAGATGGGCCAATTTAGGTAGTATTGAATCGTACATTACGCTTGCGCAAAAGACTAAACCCGTTGAATGATATATTACGCTTACGCTGATTCGTGGTCAAGTCACTGAATAGCAAAAAATCTGAAGGGTATCTCCCATGCAGTAATAAATTTGCGCCTTTGTAATCGTTGTGCCCACCTAATGTTTGGTTAGATATTTGCCATTTTAATTTCATCAACTAAATAACCCGAGACTTACCAGTATTCTGTATTCTAGTAATTAATATCTAAGGTATTGACTTATAGAGTTTCATGTCTGATTGTTGGATATTTTGTGTCCAACAATCATGTCTGCCGAAATATGTTTTTACCCGTCGTACATGTTCTTCTTATTTTTTCAATGAAAAGTATCCTATGTCCTATCTAATACATCTAAGAATATGTATACAAAATGGCATGATAATCGCTTGAGTAGTTTGAACGTGAAAGCCCGACAAACAAACTTACATTGACATTTATAATATTAGTAGGGATAGGGATGACTTACGCGTATTCATCCTCGATCGCTTCAACTTTAGAACCATTGTTTCAATAAAAAAAGTGCGAGGAAAGTCTTTGGGGACTGCCGATAGAAATGAAAACTAATAAGAAAATATTCTTTCAATTGGAAAAATTTCTGACTCATAATTTACAAATTATCATCAAAAAAGAAATAGTTTTGATATTCTTCAACGCCCTGTAGCTCCCCAACAAACTAATAAGGAGCATATACAAATACCAGTGTGTCCTTGACATTTATCGAAAAATATATCTCATCCACTTGATATTTTCGGAAGGAATTTGCATCATCTAGTATACCTACTTATATTTTTGGGCGAAAAAATCTAATATTTAGAAAAAAATAATGGAAATATTGATTTGAGAATCTTGATATTCTGGCAGTGAAAAACAAATTTGATTCTATCACCAACATTATCTTTTTTTTCAGATATGACTTGCCTTTGTATATACCACAGAAGATATGATTACTAGTAGATGGTTTAATATTATTAGTAATGATCAATATTATCCCTACCATAATGATTATGGTAATGTAAGTTTTAAATGTACTAATTAGATGAGTTAAAAATCGATGTAATTACTGTGCAGTGGGGGTATTAAAGGTCTCAAGAAATCTCACTTTAGTCTTTCATCATTTTATAATTTCTTATGTCATCATTTATGTTACAGTGAAAGTTGTCAATTTAGTAGATAATTGCATCACTATGTTGAACGTTATATTATAGTGAAAGTGGTCATAGATATTTTTACTAGCAAATGTATACAATTACTAAATTTTACACTTTTAGCTTAGCTGGATACTTTAGCTACCTAGATATCAGCAGAAAAATATTTCTTAAAATCATTGAAATGATGTCGAATTCTTTGTATGTTTCTATGTTTGTTGATGTTTCATATTTTTCATTGAAATTGGAAGAATCCGACCCTATGTAATTATGTGATCATTATACTTCCCACCTTGAAATGAATCATTTTTATCTTCATCAATCAAATAATGATCACATATATTATCAACTCAGGGCTACCTAATCAATGTGTGTTGATATTTTTTACAATCACGTTTGTACATAAAATTTCATTTATTTTTTGACTTCATGAACTATTTTTTTATTATTGATCAAATTCAATCCCCTAGGGAATCGCAGATATTTTTACCAAAAGATCTTTCAATGTCATTTCAAGAATCGCTATACATACTGTAGGTATTTATGAAACAATAAAATTCTCTATCCTCCATGCCATACAGATTATTTTCCATCATCCTGTTCTTCAGAAATGAATATACAACCTTGAAGAAGAACATTCAGTCAGAAAACAAAATTTCAAGTATCTATTATAATCATGTCTTGGCACAACTAGGTGAATGAGTAATACAAATGTACAGGATTGAGTTTTATATTTTTCGAAAATGGCTGTTGATGAAGATGAAATATGTTGACTTCATGACATTAATAAAAAGTGAATTTGCCTCCATATGCGCGTAAGACTCCAATAGTTTTTCTAATTTAGCACTATTAGAATGAAGTTGTAGAAAAAAAGGTATTCGCGAATAATTGACGATCACCAAAGTTTCATGACATACAATAATTCAGAAATGGTTGTGTATTTTCAACCTTATTGAATTTGTTTCATATTCCATCCACAATATGCATTGTGGGCCACATATATTTTGCCATGACATCAATTATTGTTTAATGAATATAGGGTGTCACAAGTTTACTTCTTAGTATGCAAGAGCGTCGCCAGTAAAATTTCGGGGGGGGGGGCTGAAATTATACTTGATTATGCTATACAGTGTGTTCAGCCTTGCTTGCTGAAAGACAAATTTCGAACATGATTTCAGATAAAAAATCTACTATGCCTGGAAATTTTTGAAAACGCCTATTTTTTTCTGTGAATAGCCTGTTTTGTAACAATAGTTGTTCAGGATAACATCTAACCAAAGTACCGAATTTCATAATTCTATCAAATCTTCTGATCAAGTTGTTGACATATGTGTTATTAAAAACCTTTGAAACAATGAAACAATTTCAAACAGTTCAATAATCGTTATCGACTATGCTTCCATCATAAATACAAATAATGCACTCATAAAATAAAGTAGAAGAATACGTAGATTCTGAAATACTCAGATTAGAAAGTGAACTTTTCAATGTTCAGACATGAATAATTATAGTCGATCTTAATTTCAATTGAATATTGCAATGTCCTGCGCGATTCACTGTTGCGATCTAATTAACAGTGCTGCTCCTGAGGTGGCGTATGGAGTTAGTAATGTTTCCTACACGAAACATTATAGGCTTGAGAACATCGATCGCGGTCAATGGCCAATTGGTTTATACAGGGTGTTGCGAAATTCGACCGACAACGCCTGACAGGAGATAGCCCCCGTAATTTCATAATCACTGAGATAGGGACATACGGTCTTCAAATGTTCAGTTCTCGAGATACAGGGCGTTGAAGTTAAAGAATTAGAATAGTTTTTTCGCAATATCTCAATAAAAATTGGATATAATTCATTCAAAATCGGTATATGGTTTCATCTTCCAATGCTTTATTTTTTGACCAGAAAGACATTCCGAGAATTTTATCCAGAGGTGCGCTACAGGGGGTTGTGAAAACTTTTCCTTCCATATTTTCTACGCCACTGATGAAATTTCGATTATTCCCAATTCTTCGAATTGATTGTTGAATTATGTTGAAAAAATGCATCACCTTCAACTGAGTTGAAATGATCAGTTATCGAGATATTTGACCCAAAATAGAAGTTTGCATAGGAATTTGTCATCTTCCTCAGTAGTAGAGAATTACAAAAATGCTTGTTTTCCCTCTATGCGTGGAATAACTATTTCTGTTCAGCTACAGAATGAGATCTGAATAGTATCTAATCTACTCATAACCAGAAAAATATTTTTTACTACTGAAAATGATGAAATCTTAATATACAATCTTCCATTTTGGGTCGAATATCTCGAAAACTGTTCATTTCAGCTCAGTTGAAGGTGATGCATTTTTGAGCAAAATGGAACAATGAATACGATGAATTGGAAATAATCGAAATTCAATCAATGATGTAAAAAATATGGGAGGAAAAGTTACCTCAACCCCCTGTAGGGCACCACCTAATTGAATGTCCGGAATAGTTTTCTGGTCAAATAATGACCCATTCAAAGATGAAACCTTGTACCGAATTTGAGTGCATTATATTCAATTATTCTTGAGATATTGCGAAACAACAACTATTTTAATTTCTCAACTTCAACGCCCTGTATCTCGAAAACTGAACACTTGAAGACCGTATGTCCCTATCTTAGAGATTATGAAATCACAAGGACTATCACCTGTCAAGCGTTGTCGGTCGAATTTCGAAACACCTTGTATATATACTAACGACGTACATATACAGGGTTTCTAGAAATGATTGTGGCATTTTATTGGATTTATTCTCATGGAGATTGAACTATAACACAACGGTCACTACTATGGTACGATTATTTATAGAAACAATATACATATACAGGGTGGGGCATAGGAAGCAAGTGTTTTTGGTTTGGGTAGTACTCGGCCGTTAGAAAGGGACGGGGCGCGCGGCTTATTACAATCCATTCCTCGACTCGAAGCATTTCACTTTTTCAGTTGTGTTCGTTATTGTTATTTCACAAACACTTGATTCCTATGCCCCACTCTGTACAATAACTTACGTACAGTCTTCTGTTGCACCTCTCAAAAGCTTTAGTTAGGAAAACAGCAAGTATTTCTTCCACTTGTTTCTCAGTGAACTTTGGTCAGTGGATTTTTCTAGCATACTTCTAAAAAAAGGGGCATAGGAATCAAGTGTGAAATAACAATAACGAATATACGTTGGTCTAGCGCCCACCGCTCCAGGATAGCAAGTGGCAACTGAGGAAGTGAAATGCTTCGAATCGAGGAATGGATTGTAATTAACCGCCGAGTACTACCCAAACCAAAATCACTTGGTTGCTATGCCCCACCCTGTACAATAATTTTTCAATACACAACAGAGGGGAGACACGCGTTCCTCTCCGCCCCATCCTAGACCTGCAATGGCGACGCCGACGAATTTGAGGATTTGAGAGCCAATGAATTGGATTGAAATTTTAAAAGCATTAGACGATTGGAATTGTTCAACTTTCTCAACTGCATATTGATAGGCTTCCTAATCCTCATATTCGCCCCATATATCCAGCTTCATATCTTTTCACATGGTTCACAAGATCCCAATGGTAAAAAGCGAAATTGCAACAAAGTGAATTTGTGACACCCTGTACACATATCCTGTTTCACGTGATTCCATATTATGCTTGTGCTGTTTAAATGCTTGAGAGATGCTCACATCACCAGGTTACTAAAATATGTAGCGCACAAGTTCTAGAAATTTATGTATCTAGCATTCTTTTATGAAAGCATTGATCAAAAAAATCATTAGTTGTGGTGCGCCTGCCGATATTTTCTATCACTTTCTAACAGATAAACAACACATGCAGTGAATCAAGTTTTAAATTTTTCAATGAAATTATCATAAAACGGCCAAGCTTTGGAATTCTTTGCCAAGGAAAGTATTTCCTAGAATTTATAATCTCCAAAAGTTCAGAAAGAATTCCAATACTTGCCTTCTTTCTCTATCCTCCCTAGGTACGCACGATGTTCCTCCAACATTATAGGGATTCCCATTCGTGCGCTCCAAGAGAGGTAAAAAAGCAATCATACCTGATGACTGTTTTCTAGGTTACTGGCAGTAATGTATCAATACAGCGTGCACTGCATGCAGTTAAACTATGTGTTATGATTTATGTGAATGTTCCGTCTAGGAGCAGACTTGTTTCCTGTAAACTTTTGCCGGTTTAATTGGTGATTACGTAACACTGCTAATTCATTATTTTTGTTCATCGCCTAGCAGCACAACATGTAACTGAATTATAATGTGAAATCAAATGATATTTCTTCTATTCATGTGATACCAACAAGATTAACTCAGTATGATAAAATCACTAACAGTGTCTGGTTTCCTCCAAAACTCTTTACGGCTTATTTCACTACGGCATTGTGTTATTGATTTACCCAAAAAATTAAAAACTGTTCTTCATTTTGAAGGCTAATATTTTCTATTTGTTGAAAGTCATAATACCCAACAATTGGATATTCCTGAAGGTAGATGCCTGTGTCCAACACAAAATTTCAAGTTATGGTCCTTTAAGAACTGGTTTTCTTTCATTTTACTTCCATCGTGAACCTTTACACAACCCTTCTCTACATGAATCCATGACATGAACAGAGAAGAAAATATCTCATCGTATCCAAATGAATCGATAGAAGAAGAATCTATGCATGTTAGGCCTCATCGCAACATAATAGTCTCTTTCGGTTCGAATATTAGATGCAAAGATGCATAATATTTCAAACACATCGCAGCATTGTACTAATTACTATATACATATTTGTACAATGTGATTAAAACTACCCGCCCTGGGCTTATAACAGGAAAAGGTAAACTGCAAAAAATGCAAATTTGGTCGAGGTAATTTGAATAGCTGTGTGTAAGGTATATTTTTTCGTCTTTTGAAATCAACCTTATTGAAAAAATATTTAGTTATACATTTTGAAAAAAATCAATATCTTCGTTATCCTTGAACTTGAAGCAACCAAATTTGATACACTTTGTGGATGTATTTGGGGCGTTCCTTGACAGTAACTAGAGTTTAATTGAAATTTGTAAAGGGGGTTACCGGGTGGCGCACCATTAATATTCAACATAATTTTGTTAACCCTTGATGAATTTCAAAATTCTTTGCTTTGTTTTGTGGGCAATTCAATTCTAAAACTTTTCTTACTCTAGTAATTTTTCGAAAAACCCCATCATTTTCATAAAAAACTCGAATAACTGAAAACGCGCGCTCTAGGTGTGTTATTTAGAATCATCGAAAATTCAAAAGTTGGCTATGAAAATGAACGTCAAACTTGACAATGAGGCAAGTGAGTTGTTCAATTGAGTAATTCTTGTTTGTGTGTTTTTAAAATGAACGGGAGGTCTTCTTTTAACGAGCAAGTTGACATGCTGTTAGTGCTATGCCTATAACTCCTTAGGGAAGTAACTTGGTATAGAGGTAAGTTGCGTTAAATTGCCATATTTTGGGACCCCTTACATGCCCCTGCCCTATGTCGGTTGTTATGTGAATCACCCTGTATATTTATACATATTCTTAGAAACAAATAATAGAATAAATATATCCATTCTCATTAACCAATCACACAATTTGAGTCTATGGTATGAATAAGAAATATTCAATGAATTTTCTTGAATTTCACGAAGAAATAAAAATCTCAACCTAGGAAACTAGTAGAATGGAGGTTCCGAAGTAGGGTCAACCTTAACCCATCTGTTTAAGGGATGAAAATTATTTCATGAATAATTTAGCATGTTAAAAATTGATATTCGATAAATAATTGAAAATTAAAAAAAATCGCTTTTTTTAATTCATACCGATGAGCTTACTGAAAAAATGTTACACCAACCGTCAGTACAAAGCCTATGGAATATGCTTAGGTAGGGTTGCCTATATTTTTCCCGGTCTTACTATTGAGTTGCCAGATATAAACATGTAGTCCTAGTTATTTTCACCTACATTTTTAATCTATAATCCAAACATAGAAATAAGCGCTGTTTCATTGCGAACACAATGATATAGGGTTGCCCACAAAAAGTATGTTTTGAATGACGGTTGTCGAATTTTGAAAAATTTTAGTGCCACTGTGAACGTGCGACAAAGACGTCCGAGACAAATATCCCGTGCGATAGACGAAGACAGAGTTGAAGTTGCGCGCAGTGCGACGGCAGGATGTAAGAGAGTGCGCATGTTAGTAGTTCATGCAATAGAAAATGATAGCTATAGACTAGTAAACAACAACATTTTGGAGCACTTTTTGCGGGCAACTATGTTTCGTGTTTGCAATGAAACAGTGCTTATTTGTATGTTCAATTTATAGATTGAACAAGTAGGTGCCAATAACGGGGGGACGAAAATACCTGGCAACCCAATAGTTAGACCGGGAAAA